TTCTGGACCTTGATTGGCCATCGCCTGAGCGGAGCCACTTCTTGGCTTTCCTGGGCAGGCAAAAGGAATCGCAGCAATTATGGTGCCTGGCTCTTGGCTGAGTTGTGACCCATCACGGGTAATAGACTATTATGATGATAAATGGAGTGATCTTGGCGGCAGGGCGCACGCTTCTGCGCCTCCCCGGCGATAGAGGGGGCCATTACCTCCTGTCTCCACGCTGACAGGGGCCCAGTATGCATGGATGGCCGCCAGAGATTGTTTTACCCAAATGAATATATTTACTCAGGCTAACTCGTCCGAGGCCTTGCTCACAAATGCCCTCCCCCTCCCCGGAATTGGGGCATGTTGGAAGCTGCTGCAGTGCCTGCAGAGGGTGATCTGCCCCCCCCACTCTACGGCTCACTGGTCTCACTTGGCGTCAATTAAATGCTGCACTGATGAGGGCTTTAAAGGCTCCCGTTCATCTCCCCAGAGTCTGAGCGTAGCCGATACATGCAGAAATTACATGTGTGTTTTTTAAACTGTTGAATGTATGTTTCAAGTTTTTTTTTTTTGACTGCTCATGTTCGACAACTTGGTTATTCGGTAACCCGGGGAGAGAGAGGTTGGTGCACGGTTTGGCGTCTTTGCCTGGGCTTCCGTCAGGTACTCCAGTTCAACATGCAATCCAAAAACATGTGGCTAGGTGAATTTGTGTCAATAAATAGCACAGTCTGTGTGAGTGTGTGACCCAGGATGTCCTGTTCTTCCTGGGAGAGTCTCCAGGCTGGCAGTGACCCTGTACGGGATAAACAGCACGCATGGCTAGGTTTGTCAACGTTAGTACAAAGAATTTGCTGGAATAGCATGGATTGTAAGTCTTGTTCGTGTTTCATATTTTTCACATCTTCGTATTGTTCAGAAATGATTCAATCATGGAAGGTATAACAGATAGCAAAGCAGTGATAGAATCCCACTTAATGGTTAACAGATTAACAGCTACAGTGTTTCTGCAGACCTGCAGTAGCGCAGAGTTGCCAACTTTGACCAGCTGGCTGGCGTGAGATTTTCAATTCGAGACAAGTCTGCACACGCATTTACATGTATGTTAACAGTTTTATTACCTTGTTAATTGTCTGTAGTGTTTGCAAACTACCCCAACGCTTTTGATGTAGCTCATTGCAGGTTTATAATGGAATAATATAGATTTCTTGGGTGAGCGTGAGAGTCTGAACGCCGGATGCGTGAGAGTTGGCAGCCCTGACTAGCTTCCTGTTAACCCAGTAACACCACAGGCTTTGAGTCCGCCAGCTTATAAACATACAGAACATGTTCAGCCATGTGACACACAGGTGTCTTCAGCAAGGGGCGTTCCCAGCATAACTCAACCATACGGAGACGGTTGTCCGGTTGTCTTGGCGATGTGTGCTGTCCCATTCCAGGCACATGGGCCACAGATGTGCATATTTGTTTAACAGTGGGACTTGAACTGAACGCCACTGTTGTTCTAAGGCAGCAAAAAGTGGCGTTGTGCGGAATGGTGTTGCGCCCTTAGTTCCTGGGGGGGCGCTATGGGAAGGACATGCAAGCGGTTCTTCCGGATATTAAAACAAACAAAATGGCTGCTTTGTATCATGCAGAGCAGATGTGGGGCTGTGTGCCATGATCGGGGCTTTGTCTGAGGAATAAAACCGGGGCTGTGGGTTGGGGCGGGTGTCCCATGAGATTTATTAAAATCGCCCTTCCGATTGGCAATCCTCAGCGCCTCTGTGGAGCGGATCTCATCGACAGCTTTCCCAAGAGGGAGGTCAAGTGAGGTCACATGATGTGTAACTTGTTTGTATGGCACAAATAAAGGTTACGCAACAGAGTTAGAGATCCTGCTGTGGGGTTCGTTGCTGCGAATGTGAGGGTTCAATCTAATAAAAGGCCACCAAAATATGTGGCATCTGACAGGCAGCTTATGGGGCAGCCCCGGGGCCTTTCCTGTCAATCTGGGAGGGACGTGTATCATGCCTGCCGAGCCTGCACGTGAATAATATCCTTGACCCCTCCTGATTTGAGATATTCGGATTTTGCTTTTGGGGATGAAGGACACATCCTAGCTGGGGGAGGCAGCACAGAAAAGGACGAGCCGCAAGCTGGCAGGAAACACAGCTGGTTCAGGAGCTGCTGGGAATGTGTGTCATTGATCTCGGAGGGTAGCTTCATAAACATACCTTAAAGAGCAGGAAGGGAAACCTCAGAGACACTGCCGCAGATTTTGCATTTCATGGGGGGGGGGACCTCCTACGGCGGCAGCAGCGACTCAAAGCGAGTCTCCGCCCCCCCAGCAGATGTAGGTCAGCGCTGTCCATGCCTCGGCTGGGCTGCTGGCTGCAGGTACAGCATCCCCCCCCCCCCCCGGGTGGCCTTCGGCGCGGGTCACTTCCTGGTCCGTCCGTTGGCGCGGCGACACCCCAGGCTGCGCTTTTCAGACCCAGCGGGAGCGATGCATGCGGAGACAGAAAGAAAACACGCGTCAGGACAAGAAAGGGCTCTTCTCAGCAAAGGAAAGATAAACACAGAAGATTCTGATTTGGAAGGCTGTGAGGGTGGAGACATAGCCAGAGCCCGGGAAAACAGCAGGACCAATATTCAAAGAAAAGGGAAAGTTTCAGATGGTAGGAGGCTTGGGAACTGGCCAGTGTCCTATAACCTTTCAATCACGATTTTCATACGGATAGATATTTATTTTGTCTTCAAAGGAAGTCTGAATACTCATTGTCTTTGCCTCACAAAGCAATGGAGCAATGGAACCTCTACATGCAAAGACAATGAAATAACAGCTGCGGGCTCTTTTAACACCCTTTGAGAGGATGTCGGAGGGTTACCTGCTGTGAAAGTGTGGACACTGTAGCTTTGCCATAGTTACATATCACTTGTAATGCTCAAGGGGAGCTTTGGGAATTGCACACAGTGATCTCATACTTAAACTCGTATATGTGAAGCTAGTCATCCCTGTTGATAAAGGTCATTATTCCTGTTGCAGATATGTTCTAAATATACAGCATATTATAGACTTGATAAGTTTGTTTTTTTTGTCCTTTGTGGACTGGAGTATTTTCTTACAAAATGCATTTTAGTGTAACTGCAATTATAACGTGAATTCCTACTGTGGGACGTGAAAGCAGCCCTGAGATTCTTCTGATTTATGTATTTGTGTAAAAGCTCATGCGCCTTATTAAAGCCTCAAATCTTATTCGGATTCTAATTTCAACGTTCATTTCCACATTTAAACTTGCAGCAAGCCCGTTATAACTTTTTAATGCAATTGACTAAATTGCACAACCGTTTGCATTCGACTTCCACAGTCTTAGTTCATCTTCTGAGCTGGAATGAAATGTTTGTATGATGAAATCGTTTTGCTTCTTGCTCTGGTACAGTATTATTGGGAATTTCTGAGATCTGGACCATTCTACTTGTTCACTGCTGCCGTGTCTCCTTACAGCTAACAGCCTATGGAGGGAGGCTGGTGTATATGGTGTCCTACGACACAGAGGGTGGAGACAAGGCCATTACGCCCTCCATCCATCCCGACGTCATCCTACAGGTATGTCCTCAGTTTTTCCGCCAAGCCACATGCGCTGTGGATGACTCATTAGCATCCTAGTTGATGCTGTTATTCAGAAGCACCTGCAGCTCCAACGCATGCATGTTTATTCAGCTGCATGTCCCGTTCTAGGACAGAACATCCCTGCCAGGGACATAAACCAGCAACCTGTAGACCAGGGTTCCTCGATAATCCTGCCCACGAGAATGAATAGCCTCCCCCCCCCCCACACTGGGCTCATTTTATGGGAACAGTGACCCCTGGCTTTGTGTTTTTGATGGAATTTGGTCCTCGGGGAAAAATAATAGGGGACCACTCTAGTAGGCTGCAAGTTACTGTCCTTCGCTGCTACGCTACCTGTGGTACCCTGAGATGCTTTAATCTTTTTTTGTTTTGTTTTGTTTCCTGTGTGATGAAGGAGGTCAGGCCCCGTCCACCATCTTGGGGAATTAGCTTTGCGTCTGGGGCGTGTGTGGCTGCCACGTTCATCTGGTTCCGTTTAAAGAGCGCGGCGTCCACAGCTGTTCGGCCGGAGCGAGTGCAGGCCTCTGGAATTCTCCGACATGTGTGTGTCATTAGCGGGGCTCCAGAAAAAGAGCACAGCCGGGGGCCTGCCCCCCCTCTCCGGTCCACGCTTTTCGGGGAGCGTAGCACAGCCGATGCGGTCATGCGGTCGGAGACCATGCCGCTCTTTCTCAGGTTTAACCAAAAGCAGACTTGGCCTCGCAAGACGCCTTCATCTTTGGTCAAGCCTTTTGGCCAGATGTATATCTGAAGAACATGTATCTTTATACGAGACAACAGACTAAACCCCTGCATGACAGCGGCATGTAAAAATAATTTTGGCAACTGAAGCCATGACCTCAGTTGGTTTTCATGAGAATATCTAATTTGGGAAGACCAGTCTATGCACCTGTGTTTTTCTTCCTGCTTTTGTGGAGATTACATATGTTAAAACTCAAATCTCAAATCTAAGATGTATATATAATTTTGAGGGATAAGTCTTTCATGCCCAGTCTCCATGTGTCCTGTGCTTGTAACCTTGGTAAACTCTGCAGTCTCTCTAGCCCATAATGCCACACTTTTAAAAAAAAATGCAAACTCACTTATTGCCTTATTCATTTATATGTGGATTATCTATATGTGCATTTTTAGTCATGATAATTGGTCAGTTCAAAAGAAAAATGTACCTCTTTGTTCCTTATGAGCAGTGAGGCAGCACTTATCATAGGTCAGCACTGTGAGCTGTTCCTTCCTACTGATGACCGACTGATAACCAGTCTGTTTCTGCCTTTCCCCAAGCTCATTTTATATAGGGGTTAATGCTTTCCAAGCTGTGCATCATACATACATTTTTATGCACGGCTGCAGAGGCAAAGGACCCCCTTCATGTAGCGGGCTATGTTTAAAAGCGTATAATGCCAGGCTTGTAGTGCATTAACCCAGTTATACCATGGTGACAACACACATGGCTCCCGCGTTCGTACCTAAAGACATTACTTTCAATTGTATGAGGCAAAAATGCATTTATTATTAGAAGTACTTTCCTGCACCAACGATTCAACATTTCCCTTAGTTTTTTGTTAATTTTAAATTCTGTTATTTGTCTGAAATTTTAAGTAACGTTAGTTAGAATGAAAGATTTTAATAGCGCATTGATTTACTGCTGTGACTTGCCTGGCTGCCACTGTGTGTGTGGATATAGGAAATTAATCTGGCCAATCAGATTTGGGAATTCGTCAGCGTGGCAGCGGTGTAGCGTGACTGTACTGCCCGTGTCTGTGTGTAGGGACATTTCCCGCGATAGCAGACACACTTAGAGCACCACTGCATAAAAGCAACACGTGGACACCAAGAGTCCTCAGCATTGTGCAAAGAAACAACAAAGCTCACGCCCCCAGTGAGGGCGCATCCTTCTCATCACTGCCTGCCCCCCCCCCCCCCCCATGCTAACGCCAGTGCTTCAGCGCAGCTTTGATTGTCCTTCCTGTTTCCACAAGCCAGGTATTCCGGTCTATCAACATTGCCAGAAACGTGGGCTTCTGCAAGCCGTTAAGCTCGTCCTGATGCCTGCAGCCTGCCTAATCCAGGAAGGAGTCCTTATCCCTAAATACATTTCGCTGTATTCTTTTTCTTGCAATGGCAGCAAATGCCATTACTTGCAGAGTAGACTTTTGTTTGAAGGCCCAATTTCCACTATTGGGCTACAGCCGACAGGGATCTTTTCTGCATGACTAATTGGGTTTTGCTCCGCCGTTCTGAAACATTGAAGCCTGGCTGTGTTTAACGTGCCTTCTGATCACATTTGTCATGGATTCTCTGTGCTGCATTCATTCACTCAAGCTCATAGGTCACCCTGTGTTGTGTTTGTAGGTATAGATTCAGCGATTCACTCATTTCATCCATTCTTTTGTACTGTATTTATAGTAACTTTACTCACACAGGATTCATGATGCTTTATTGTTGTCTCACCATGTAGGGATGCATTAGCGCTAAGATTTGTGTTCCAGGCCTCACATGGCTACCATGAAATGTCGTTTCTCCATGGCTGCGAGGAGATGCAGATGCAGATTGCGAGGAGGCAAAGACAAGTAAAAAAATACATGATTAGAAAAGACATCTTCTCGTCATTAACACCTCTGACAATCAGCAATACATCCAACATGCAAACAATAACATATTTAAAGGCACGGACGGTCTCTCACAAAACTGGGAACTGTGCACCGATATGGCGGATGCCGGCCTTTGCTGGGTGTGGATGATGCAGTGTGCCATCATGTACAACCCTCTTATGAATCAGCAAAATGTTAACCTGTTTGTATGCATACATACCACAGCCATACAGATTTTATAAGTAAGCATACATATGTACATGCATACATGTTGCACAAGAAGCAACAAAAGTGAACAAATCAATTGTTATTCCAAGGCAGTGCACACACTGCTGTTTGGTGCACATCTGTAAGCCGTCTGTGAGGAAGCCGGCATTCCATCGCATTCGGACGTGGGGCACCCCCCTCTGTGTCTCCGGCGGTAAACTGGACACGGCCTCGCAGATCCAACACGACAGACTGCAAACGCATGGTTTCTGACCACTGGCTGTCACAGAACCCAGAGCATTGATAGAGCTTTAACCTTCTGCTACCAGAGTAACAGCCCTTGTGAGTAACTACTCATGCTACATCAGGTTGGGGGCGGGGCTGGCTCTTAGGATGGAAACAGAGGCAACAGACAGCGGGTGTCCAAAATAGGACGAGAACTGAAGAAAAAGGGGATGGGGCCCCTTTAAATATCAGGTTCAAAAGACCAGAATCAAGCCAAGTTTTCCCAAAGCTGAACTCAACCAAGCTACTTTCAAGAAGGACACTTGTACCTCACTCCCCTTTCCTGAAAAACCAGACTTGCCCTATTTGTTAGTAATGAAGTGATTAGGCTCTGTTGGGGTCTGTTTATTTCATTCACGCCCTCTGATTCTGGAGATAGGCTCAAGATCACCGCCAACCCTAATTGGACCAGTGGTTAGCGAAAATGGATGGACATTGGCTAGAAATACATATTGTACCATCTAAAAATGTCATATGCTGTATATATCGGCTAAGCTCTTTGGGCTATGGGCAACGGTAGACAGCCCTAATACATATTAATGGCACAGAGCTGTCATTCATTTAAAAAAAAATTAATAGTCCCACCACTTTGTTTCACTTTCTGAATATATAAGTGCTTTCGCATAAAAACACAAAGAGAGAGAGGTACCCAAGATGTTTGCAGAAGCTTGCAGCCGACGGTTTTTAATTGTGGTTATATTTGTTTGGCAAACGATAGTGATGAAGTGCAGTCGGAACCTTCTGGAAGGCCAGGGGTCGGCCCCATGGGTGAGGGCTGCCTTTCGACCGCCGCCCTCTTCCACGCTCTCCATCAGCATGCAATTACAGTGGCGCGCTCATCTTGGCTCGCCATGGGGGGGGGGGGGGGGGGGGGTCTCTCCGCATTTCGCAGTCAAGTGACAGAGCGCAGGAGTCGAGGGGCTTTATTGAGATATTGCCGCGTGAAGGCACTCGTGGTGCCCTAATGGAACGGCAGCGGATGCGTGACGGGTCATTATCGACGGTTAATCCCTGCTTTGCATGTGTACACTCCATTAATTCGGAGCAAATAAAATGGCCGGGGCATGTTGGCCGTGATTCCCCAGTAGAGCGGAGGGCAGTAAATAACACTTCACGCGAACGACGCCCCTTAATCCTTCCCGATGATTCTGTCAACATTGTCTGGGGTTCAGAGCCTGGCCACTTCACCTGTGTGAGATATGCTTGTATGAGACCCTTCCCCATCACTTACCAAGGCCGTGTCTTTCATGGCTGCATGCTGCCTCGAACTACTGCATTAAATGACCAGTTAATTATACGTCCATAAACGTATATCACGTTTTAGCAAAAAAAAAATAAAAAAACATTAATAAGTGAGTATATTGATATGTAAAGCATACAGGGAGGAGTGCAGATTGAAGCACATCAAAACAGGATATTTATTCCACTTGGAGATAAAAAAACAACCAAGCTTGACTTTGGTCTCCACAGGGCAATGGGATAACAATGATTGACAGCCGGATCGGGCTGCAGTTGTCCCCCTTTACCGAGGGAACAAAGAGCATTGTCCTGCGCGCCGAAAATTTTATACACCGGGAGACAGGCCTCGCTGTCAGCAAGAAGGAGTTCATGACAGCTCTCAGTGATCTGAATGGGCTTCTCATCAGAGCCTCGTACAGCCATGATGAGGGGGCCCTCTACAGGTACGTGCTGTCACAACAGCCTCAGCGACGTTAGAACAAAACGTTTCCCCTAGAGCCATCATCAATGCCTCATTTATCTGTGTGTTAAGGTTAAAAATCTAACTTTGCTTATCTTCATGTCGTCAAACCTGCATGTAATGTGTGTGTGTATATATGTAAATAAATCCATCATGTCTTCACTGTCCAGTGAAAATCGCACATCTCCATTTTTTGCCGATTGTGACTTGCTACAGACAGAACACGCCCACTCTCCTCTGTCTGCTGATAGTGTTTGACTTCTAATTAACCACTGAAAAGATGTTTTACATAGTTATCTATTTAACTAACTCCAATTTATATTTGTATTAGTTAACATTTGTAATCATCATGGTTGTTTGCAAGAATGTTTCACTGTACTGCACTACAGATCAGTTTTAACAACTTAATGCTGATAACTAGGTATCTAGCTAACATCACTGTTAATTGTGAATGTAATGGGAGATTCATCTGTATCACGTTGACACTGTCATATTTGCCTCTTTTACAACAATCCATGCAAGTCCATTTAAAACATTAAACCGTTCACTGACGGCCGTGTAATGAGCGGTGTCTCTGTGGTGCCAAGGGTGCCTCGTTATGTTGATTTCGGTTTAGTTTGTAAAGTAGTTTGTGAGAAAATGCATTTTTTCACGCTCCAGGAATAATGAATTTTTGGAGATATGTGCTTTTCATTGAACGGCAACATTACGTTCCTTTTAGTTACTTTTGTTCATCATATAAATATAAGAATGTGCTGTTCCGGTTCCCCACGTATGTTTACGACACCCTTCAGTCAGCTTGGTGTCCTGTGTGCTGCATTCCTCATGTCTTTACGTTCCCTGGGGGCCAGACTCAACTCTGTCACCCTGGAGGTAGCCAGTGATGTGTCCCGGAGCGATGTACCGGCCAGGGCTGTGGAGATGTGTCACTGTCCCCATGGCTATGGCGGAACGTCTTGTGAGGTGAGTGACACGAGTGTCGTGACTCGGTGTCCACCTTTTTATCATAGTCCCTCTCGGTGGCACCTCTGTTAAAAAAAGCATCCACTTTGCGTCGCATGTCAGTTTTTCTGTCACTGTCAGAATTGTTTGACTCTTGCTACGCCGTGTGTGAATTATATGCTGCACTTGCAGTTAATACAGCAAGAATCTGTATCAGAATAAGTATATTTTTATTATCCTGAAGGAAATGATATGCTTGCGGGAGTTAAGCAAAAAATGTTCTGAGGGCAGAACGAAAAATGATCGGTTCAGAGAGATAGCCAATCAGAGAGGAGACAACTAGAGGAGGAGAGACCAAGACATCTGATTGGTTGGTCCCACCTCCTCCAGTTGTTTGGACCCACCTCCTCTTCAATCGGAACTAATTTTCGTTCTGCCCTCAGAACATGTTTATGTAAGTAAAACTCCCATGAGCAAATTCCATCTGGTATTCAGTGACATGCACTTGCTGTGTTGTGCGTTTCGCTCTGTGACGTGTGCAGTTTATACTGCACATGACTGAGACCAGTGTGAGGTGGTGAAACCCATTTGAAAAGACTTAGCTGACAGCTAGTCACCTTCTTAGAGAAGCTGTCTTTAGGTCGCTGCAGTGGCCACGTTGATTTTTCCGCGTATGTCATTATAGTGCTGACCGCAGCTGATTTCTGGGAGATTTTTGAGAGAAGATGAAATGAATCATTGGTTTTTTTTAATACATGAAGAGGGGTTAATTGTGACTTATTTGAAAAGGCCGTAGAGTCAAGACCTTTTGCAGAACCCGTCGGAGAACAATCCTAGCTCCCACACCGGATCATTAAAAATCCTTGACACAGAGGCGACTTGGATTAATGTCTGAGATTCAGTGCAGTGACCTTTTTTTGAAAGGGTAACAGGAGACTAAATCTCCACAGCCGAACGTCACACTGACTGATAAAATCAGGCCTGAGGATTTCTCAGGTGATGCCAGGAAAAACACTACAGAATATTATTAATTTTGCTTTACATAATGTACTGGTACCATGATGCATTGCCGATATTTTATTTTCAGAATGAAGATCACCCCATTCTCCTCGGGATAGCTGTAGGGTAATAAGCTGTCTTTATCTTGAAATATTTTTAATACACCACCATTACGTGAGACTCAGACTGTGTCTTCTATTTACTCACACAGTAGCCATTTTTAAGTAGTTAGTGGTTCAGAATGATTACGCTACACTGCGATTTGCTGAACTTCGACTCCTGCCGGGTCCAATGGTGTGACAGTGAAGGACATGAAAGCCTCCTTATGTCATGATCCCTCTACATTCGACCCCCTGCACTGTTAAACTCTTTAAAAACTAGAAGCTGAAATAAACATCTTCTTAAGGGTGTGTCTTCTTCGGAAGTTAGCAGTCAGTGGGGTACCAGTGGCCCTGCAGGGATTTGCAGCTGCAGACTTTTATCTGCTGAACGCTCTCTACATAACAGTCTTCGATGTAAAGCAGCTCGTGGGGGCTGGTCCTATCGAGCGGGCGCGGCTGATGTTGCCGTTTGACGGCATGTTACAGGGTGAAAATTCAAACCCGTCTTTGGGTCTTTAAGTCTTTACGCTACAGGAAGCTGAGAGGCGTGACGGACAACTCCTGTTGCCATTTGCTTGACTTTCTTTGCCGCGTCGTAATTGTCTTATCTCTCTTTTCTTTCCTATTATGCAAAATAAATTTGCTCTTAAAAATAGACCCAAAAGAAACTCCATGTCTGCTTCTTCTGCATAAATCAAAGCACTTAGTGAAAAGCATTAATTATATCTCTGTATGATTAATTAGCTGCTGCAAAGCAGGTTATGGGCTGACATAATTAAACTCTAAATCTCACCGGCTAAAAATAGCTTTGTTTTCTTTTATCTAATGGCTTTGTAACAGTCACTCTGCATCTACACGATTCGCTCCTTGTTCATCAGAACTAATTTGTGTCATTCCGCTGTCAGGGTGATTTTCTTTCCTTGCATTCAGAGTGTAATTGTTTTGTCTCCCTGTTGCAGATGTGCTTACCTGGTTACCAAAGGGTTAACGGCACCTTGTTCAAGGGAGTGTGTGAGCCCTGCCGCTGCTTCGGCCACTCGGCGCACTGTGATGACATCACGGGCCGCTGCCTGGTAATGTCAAGCAGGGCACGGCGTTGGGTGGGGCTCCAGGTCAATCAAGCAGGCGTAGGTTATGGACTACCCACTGAGAGTATCTCTAAATGGGAGGTTTCAAACCATAAAGCAGCAAAGACCAGGTTCTAAGTGTGCTTTTCATTTCTTTGGTTACTTTGCTGTGAGTTTGTAGGCCAAGGCTTGGAATCTAGGATTCTAGGCTCATCACAACTGGTACCTCAGCATTCATGCTGGAAATGAATGAACAGCACAGCATGATGGGAATATGAACAGCACAGCCCATGCCTTTGACAGTATAATGTAGCGAAGTCATGAAAGCATCCCAAGATCTACTCCTCAGAGGTCCCTCGTGTTTCTTTCGGGCTCTAGTGCTTTTGGTTGGACCAAAGGCCAACTGTAGGAAGGAAGTCATTTAGAAAGCAATTAAGGGGTGAGCATCAGGAGGGCGCCCTGGGGCGCCCAGTCAGAGGCAGGGTGGGGCTGACATCACTGGCGCTGGCCAATAGCATTGCTCGCCTTCACGTTGCCGCCAAAGCGATTTATTATCCTTCCTCTAACCTCCTCCCCCTGATTCCGCATAATTAGGAAATGGTCTCCTCGTGGTTAATTATGCTGACTAGGCACGCGGCTGACGGGGAGCGTGTATGGCTTCATTAGGCCTGCCGGGGCCGCGATTGGGGGCACAGTGCTCCCGTGTTATCAGCCGAGCGGCGCCCCCGCCCTGGGCTGGTGCCAGCCCACGGGAAGATGCAGCGTGTTTAATTTGGCCACACGCGCCTCTAAAAGTCTCTCCGATTTATTCGGCAATTAGGAATAAATTTTATGGAGGTTTGACATGCAAAACTAAATTTTAATTAGATGTCATTCTGTTAATATTTTAAAACGAGCATGTGTGTATATTAGGCATTTATTTTGGTGTTTTTACATGGAAATATTTCAGGTCAAATGGCTTTTCTCACTGAAAAAAACAATTCCTGTTTTAAAATAAATTTAATTATGCTAAATTTGTAGTTATAGTTCTGGCAGCAAATGAAACATAAAACAATGTTTACACCTGCTGAGCAAATACTTGATCTATAAGACAGGTTTTTCTTTTACTGTAAAACTCTAAAGTAATGCATTTTTCTGCCAAGTGAAATGGACCCACTCCCTCCTACCCAAATCCCATTTGCAGGACTGTGAAGACCACACCATGGGTCCTCACTGTGACACATGTGCCCCTGGTTTCTATGGCGATGCTACCAAGGGAACGGCTGAGGACTGTAAGCCCTGCTCGTGCCCACTCCCCCATCCCTCCAACAAGTAAGTATCTTAATGCACGTGCGCGCATTCACACACACACTCACCAGGCGTACTACCACACACACACACACGTTTGTATTCACATCTTTGTGGGGACCGTTCATTCATTTCTATGGGCAAAACCCTAATCCCAATAGTGAAAACCCCTATCCAGCCCTAACCTTAACCGTAAGTAACCAAACAAAATGCAAGATGTTTGGCATTTTTACTTTTTTTTTTTTAAAAAAATTGACAGATTTTTTTTTTAAATTTAGGTTATCCAAATGGAGAAAAAATGTCCCCAAAAGTTAGGAAATTTCAGGTTTTACCACACTTTGGGGACAATTTGGTCCCCAGATGTGATCTATGCAAACCCACACACACACACACACAGTGGAAAACAACTTGCCTTTGGATCACTGGAAAAAAAACCCATCAGTGCATGGCACCAGGAATGGAAATCGCACCCATAGCCCTGAAAGTATGCAGCCTACACACATAGTAAAATAACGGGTTTATATCTTTGTGGGGACCGTCCATTCATTTCTATGGGAAAACTATAATCCCAACATGACACCCTTAACCCTTACCCAGCCCTAAGCTTAACCGTAAGTAACCAAACAAAATACAAGACTTTTGGCATTTTTAGTATTTTGACTGCATTCACAGATGTTTGTGGGGACCCGAAAAAAAGTCCCCACAACATCAAAATAACTGTTTATTACGTTTGGATGTTCTCAATGATTTTTTTAAGCCTCAGTGGAACCATGAACACAAGTATGATCGGACGTTACCAGACAGGTCGATGGATAAATACAGTATACTGTATGTATACACACGCACACACCTGAAAAACGGTCCCCATAATGTCAAAATGTCAGGTTTTTATCACATTGTATGGGACATTTGGTCCCCACAATGTAATATAGGCATAATCCACACACACACACACACATACACACACACACACACACGCACACACACACACACACACACACCACCAAAGAGGACTCATCTCTTTATGCCTTTTTATGACAGTCGTCTCAGAGTGACTTGAAGATGCTGTCATTGGCTCATTAGAGTCACAGAATGAAGTGTCTTAAAAAAGCCAGTATATTTTGTGCCCATTGCTCCTGCATGTAAATATATGTTCCCTGTAATATTCCTGTAAACATATCCCCGTCTTATAAAATAAACATTTTATAAAATAAAGCAGAACACTTCCCGAGCTAAATCGAGAGTTTGTCAGCAGGGCTGGGCTCTGCTGATGTCAGTGCTAACACACCACATGCCCCTCCTGCCAAAAGACAGCCGCTCCACTGGAGCACAGAAAATAGGCCGTAATCCCCTGTTGGACCAAAAGGGGGCAGCGCGCCCTGAGGGCAGGAGGAGCAGCTGGGCATTCCGGTGAAGCAGGCTGGGGGGGGTGGCTAAAGAAAGGCACTCGCACCGCTGCTCGTGTCCTCTGTGGTCGGAAATAGCCTCCCCACCACCCGGCCGCCCCCCCAGGCAGCAACACGACCCCTCGCTCTATCTTTGGCACCTGTGGGGCCCTTGACTGGCTCCCCTGTGCCCTGAGTGTCAGTCGGTCGGCTCGCGGCCGCGGGAGGCACCACAATGACCCGGCTGCCTCTGCTCTCCTTCCTCCTCGCCGTTGCCGCCACTGTGGCCCAAAAACGCCACAGCTTCAGCCCCACGTGCCACCTGGACTCCGGCGGTGAGCTGATCTGCGACCGCTGCCAGCCAGGCTACGCCGGACCGCGCTGCGACAGGTGAGAGACAGGGACGGGTGTCGGGGTGTCTGCAGGACGTGCCGGCGCCGTCGGCCCCGTGCTTCCGGCAAACCGGATGAAACACGGCTGACTGGGGGCGCCACTGGGCCGTGATGTGCACCAGAATCTCGCTGTCACCGTAATAAAAGAGTATTCCGGTGTCGGATGGAGCTCGGAATAGCCTTATGCGATGCCGGAACAGAAATTGTGTTTATTAATGTGTTTATGAGCAGATCTGCCTGGTATTGAACGTGATCAGGGTCAATCTCCAAGAGGCCGCACATTTAGAACTAGTTGTATCAGCTTCTATGACAGCCTCACTTGTTTTTGGCGAATACATCAGTTATCTGTCAATATCCAACTCTCTCGCCGCTTCATGTTCTCCTGATTTGTCTCACGCCGTGCCGTCGTACGACATGCCTGCCTGATGAAACGCGCTCATTAAAAGCTCACCTGTAAGGGTGAAGCCTGGTTGGCTATTGCCAATCATACAGACCCCAAGCTCCGCCCACACAGCCACCACCCTGTCCCCCCCCCCGCCCCCCCCCCCCCCCCCCCCCCCCCCCCCCCCCCCACAAAAAAAAGGGGGGGGGGGTGGGGGTCTGTGGCCCATCAGGAAGATTGATGGTCTCGCGCTTGGTGCCACAACTCTGTCTGAAGTGTATTCATTTCATCTGCATCAGAAACACATCATTTAATTTCCTCCCGCATTTTTGCGGGTGGAGAGATGGCAAATAGGTTTGGGGCTGTGGGAGAGGTTGGGGTGGGGGGAGGGGGGGCCTGCCAGGTTGTTGATGCAGAGGGGACTGGAGCAAGTGAAACTTTTGGGGGGGGGGGGTGGCGGGGGGGGCGCCCTTCATCCCCACATCAGCCTTGATGACAGATGGTAGCAGGCCTCGTCGCTGGCATCCTCGCGGCTGAGGGTGTATGCGGGTTTTGACTCTCCATTAACTCGAGGCAGGCGGAGAGGGATTTTAATTTCGCCGGCGCACGCCAGAGGAAGACGGGGGCCCTATTTGCGAGGCAGAAACGGAGGTTCCATTCATCATCTCTGAGAGGGAGGGCCGGGGTGCACATTTCTCTGGGGGCTCCCGGACAGACCGCCAAGGGCAGCCAAAGACAAAAGCGCGTCTGCTTCCGGCACCGCCAGGCCTCCTGAAAGAAAGCCAAGTGACCAATCAGGGATCAGAAGCTCACAGCCCCTGAAGTCTGCAGTTCGGGGCATCGCACCATATACTGTAGGTCCCTGTGTCTTATAACAATCAGGAAACCCGCCGTAGCCAGGTTACCACGGAGACACGCAAGGCCACTCACGTACGCGTCACTCTGCAGTGCAGCTAACGTAATTAAAATACAATTTCTTTATGCTGCAGTAATTATAGGGCAATTATATTGCAATAATGGCAATGATCTCTACCAAGACTGGTCTTCCCATTGGCCTGTGAAATACCAAGAAGCCGCCTGCTCCTTCAGAAAGAATCGTAATATCAGAATCGTAATATAGGTTTGCCTGCTGGAGACGGCTGACTGGCAGAGGCGGCGAATCTCATCTGCAAGCAGCAACAGGTTGGACGTTAATATTCCCGGAACGGGGGCCGGGACAGCTGTGTGCACCCAGGGGGCGGGAGGGGGGAGGGGCACGCAATAAGGTGGGAAATGAGTGGGCTGCCAGCCAGGGGGAGGACCTCGAGGTCATCGCGCAGCGGCCGGGCTCACCGGACCCGCAGCCAATCAAGGCCCCCCCTCTCGCCAGTTTATCGTGGGTTTGAATAAACGGCCGACCGGGGCCCGGCTCGGTCACCCCGTGTGGCAAACGCGGGGTTAAAAATGGTTAAAACTGGAGATGAGCATGATGTCGGGACACGTCTGCTTGAGCATTTATAGTTAGTTGGGGGAGGGGGGGGTTCGGGCATGCAGTGGGGGTCGGGCATGGGGGGGGGGTGGCGGGTATTGCGGGGGTGGTGTGGGGGCACACCTGGCTGGAGACATCAGCGTTGGAGATAGACTGGCAGCCCATGCTGTGGCGTGTTAACGAGGGTGCAGATGTAGCGGTTAAGAATAGCCGGGCCGTGGGTCCGCGTGCGCGTCTCAGCGCCTGTCCCTGGTGCCGTTTATCCGCATCTCTCCCGGCAGCTCTCACATGCGCAGTTTTAAGCAGCGAGGCAACTGGGGTGGTTCACAGTATTTATTTCAACATCTTAAAAATTTACCAAACCTCACCACCCTTACCAGTGGAAGGTGGATGGATGGATGGATGGATGGATGGATGGATGGAAAATAATAAATATACCAAAGTAAAGAATGAATACTGTGGCATATTGTCATGCTCAGTGCAAGTTGGGCCCACGTGACATCCTTGGCAAGCTTCGACTGGGGGGGTGGGGGTGTCAACACTGGAATTTGATTAATTCTCCTTTAATATCTACTCTGTGGCACATTGAAATATTATTTACGAGGGGGTGGTGCCAGTGGTTTGCTAAGTCAGTGCCCGCTAAGAAAATGCCGCTCAGGGCCACTGGCCATCTTGCCCTTTGCCAGGATTCACGTCGGGCCACTCTTACCTATTTCACTCGTCACACATGTGTGCTTGAACCTCCAGAGGCACTTTCAGGTTAAACCCTTAGAGCTTTGGGCGCTCATGCTTGCGCGTCGTGCATGTGATTAGTACAGCCAGTGAAGGGCCGCCCGCATGCCGTCTGGCCCCCCACACGGCGGCCCCGAGGTCGGAATTAGCAACACGTCTCAACACGGCCCTGCTTAACGATGGCGCTGAAATTACAGACGCGCACGGCCGGCCCGCCATCCCATCCCGCCGGCACGCCCGCCCGGCCGTCGCAGTCAATAACGCGCTCAATTAATAAATATCCGACAGGCGTCGGAACCACCGCCGTGTCACGCCGGCACGATTGCTTTTCCCATTTAGTGCCACGCAGCCGGAAACTGGGCGACGCAGATAAGAAGCACGGAAGCCGTTTAAGGAGACGCGGTAGATCGAAGGTAGGCCTTTATCGCCGCCCGGCACGGCTTCCTTTCCGAGGAGATATAAGAGAAAAGATGAGAACGTAAGGGACACAGGCCTGGTTCTGGTGGATTCCTCGCCTTCTCGCCGGCTGCCGCTGCGTGCGGACTGCGGACTGCTGACAGCGTCGCTCTCTCTCCCCATGATGAATATGCACCAAGATCTTATTTATGTTCCAGGCATAATTACTTTGTTGATACACGCGGAAGATATTCAATAGTCACATGTGGCACCTCTGCAGAACATCTCCGGCGAGTTCCTTCAATAATTGGAGGTGAAAAGAGTCATTATTACACCCGGCAGCCAGTAATTCCTTCATAGAACACAAATTAGCTGTAGCGGGGGTCAGCGATCCCCAGGCTGTCGGCCTCGATTGACCTTTAACCTTCGACCTCATCGTTTCTGACTGTGCTGCAGGTGTTCCAATGGATTCTTTGGCCAGCCTACAGAACTGGGGGGGTCGTGCCAACCCTGCCAGTGCAATGGAAATTTGGACCTCTCGTCCCCCCGTAGCTGTGACCCTGTGACCGGAACGTGCCTCCGGTGCAGGCCGGGCTACGGGGGGGTGGTCTGCGAGACCTGCGGCGAAGGCTACTTTGGAGACGCCGTCGTGGCCAGAAACTGTCAGCGTGAGTGTGCAACTATATTAGTGACTTATCCTTCTATGTCTAAGTATGATTTATTTTGATCTAGATTCCTCCAAATGAACACATGCCTTAACACTCTGACATCATTTTTTACTGATTCAGGCTAAATACTCCACTGCAGTGTAGTATAATTCAGCTATTCTAATGCTACACTATGCTATGTCATGCTCTGCTACGCTACGCTATGCTCTGCTACGTTTTGTTATGCTGTTCTGTGGTATGTTTATATAGATTTTATATCTGACATATCCCTACCACTATGACTTTGCACACTGCGGAAGCAGCTCCCAGCTTCCTCACTAAATCTTAGCCTGTGATGTTATCACAACATTATATTACACAGTATATAATGTAGGTGGTGGTCTAAACAGAATATAGGCCTAACCGTCCTTGAAGAGTCTCATTTTCACAGTGAAATAACAGACGTGTTCCAGCAGACAGCTGTTATGCAAACGCGATGGGCGCTAGGAAAATCATTAATCTTTAAATTTCACAGTAATCTAACAACAATCATGTCTGTAGCCGGACAAGAAGAGAGTGAGATTAATGCCAAAAAACGACTGAACTTTAATTAAAAAAGGAGACGAAATGTCACTTGTAATGCCTGCAGTTCAGGTTTTAAAATACAAAATGTAAACAGCTGTGGTTTGATTTATTCAGTAAAAAGCCTGCTGATTCTGTTTCCAAACTCGGTTTCCAATTTTGCACATCTGGGGACGTCACTGGCGAGGCAAAAGGAGAGCGATGAAGTTTAACTGCATTATTATCCGAGTGCCAGCCAGCCGTACTGCGTGTCGGCATTAAATTCACAGGAGCGCTTTCTGGTGCTGGGGTTTAATAGCTTCTTTATTAATTGGGTTTCTTAAAACGGAACATTCGGCTGGCCATGTGTGCACGCCATATGCACAGCATCCATGATGCCTTAAGTCTTTGGTCATTTATATTGGTTTGGCTAATGTGTGAAATTTATAAGACTGCGGGTGGACGTACCTCCGTCTTATTAATGTATGTGTCTCACAGCTGGTAACTGGTCCACTACAGATTAATATGAAATATACAGGAGGTCACCAAGAGCTTGGAGCCCTTCCTTGGAAGTACAGGGCAGAGGAACACAGTGGAAGGCATGTCTGGGTACATACACTCCCTCACTCACACACACACACATACATTCACAGTGGGCAGCTTTTAGATCTCAACTTGCCTGTATTTTTTGACCGTAGGGGAATCCGGAGCCCATGGAGAAACTCCAGGCAAACTGGAACAAATATGTAAACTTCACATGTTTGGGAGTTTTACTTACACAAAAAAGTTCTGAGGTAAGAACGAGAAGCGATTGGTTTAGAGAGGTAACCAATAAAAAATAATAAAAAAAAAAAAAAAAAAAAAAAAGAGAGGTAACCAATCAGATCTTGGTCATATGTCGGACCAACCAATCAGATGTCTTGGTCCCGCCTCCTCTACAATATGATTGGTTATCTCTCTGAACCAATCATTTTTATTCTGCCCTCAAAACATTTTTGTGTAAGTAAAACTCCCACACGCACTCTATACCCGCAGATCTGGGTTGGGATTCGAACCCACAATCCTTGAGATTTGTGGCAACAGCACTATACCCTGTGCTACCCAGGAAGAAAGTATAATATTAAAAATATATGAATCAGTCTTACAAGCTATGGTATCTTAAGAAAGTTAAAAAAAAATGTTTAAGAAATACAAAAAAAGAGTTCCACCCTCTGGGACCTACCCTGTGTGGTAAGCCCACCTGCCGGCATGAAGCGCGTCAGCAGGCTGAGTGGTTTGTGCCTTCGCTCCATACTGCTTGACTTTGTCCTCCTCAGGACAAACTAAACGAGTGCAGAATAGGCCAGCATGCAGAATGCAGATTCATCAGTCCATTGCCTCGCTCATTTCCTTTTATTTTCACACAATCTGCCTCTTTCATCAGTTGTATTATGCATGTTTCACGTGACAGGCATGCAGAGGACCAGAGACCAGAAACGGACCGGAAAAATATGCTGTTGATTATGTAGCATTTCCCCCATCTGTACTTGTCACGAGGGAGCAAAAAATTACTCATCTCAGCCTTGTTGTGTCATTCTCGTACTGCATGGATAGGGTGAGATTATACTGCATGATCCGTGTAATCAGTCATGCCTGAGTTACATACATTATGTGAGATATTATGTGTGTTGACGGAACCAGATTTTTAAATGGGTTCAAAAACCACAAACTCATTTTCTAACAAACCGCTAATAGCAGATTCCGCAGAAAGCGTTTTGCAAGGTATTGGCTAGCATGTATATCTGTCCAGCAAGCAGGTGTGCATCTGCTGCCATCTCCCTTCTTGGAGCCTCAGACCGTTGGAACAGAATTGAGAAATTGAGTGTGTATGCATACAAAGAATTTAATTCAATACTTAAAAAAAATTGCTAACAAATTTTAAAGCTAGCAATGCAGACTCATGAATGTAACACCACTTGTTTCTGGACATAATCTTATTTTATTCAGCTTTTTTATTAAATTTTATCAGTGACAGCTCAGTTTGTAGACATGTGACAAGTATGAATCTGACAGTATATAACAGTTAATAGGAATTTTCTAATAATGACTATCCATCCATCCATCTATCCATCCATCCATCCATCTATCCATCTATCCATCCATCCATCCTTCTATCCACCATCTTACAATTATATTTCCTGGTCACAGTTTACTATGGCGGAGTTGACTAACTTGAATTTTACTCCAGGTTATAGTCAGACTGTATACCTTGCATGTCACAAATAAAATCCTTGAATCCATGAGTTAATGTCTAATTTAATTAGACATTTTTGTTAAGGACATTAAAAGCATCACCTAATAAAACCGAATGATTATTTAGTCGCCGTTCAGTCCATTTATCCAAAGTAAAAACTTTAACCACGAGACACATTCCAAGCCGCGGGAAACAGCAATTAAGCACGAGGCGTCTAAGCGGTCCCCCGGAATCGCTCGCGTTCGGCTCTCCGCTCGCCGTGTGTGCAGAAGGCAGTGATGTTGCTCATGCTGTTTCCACCGTAATTAAAACTTCAGAACATAAACCGTCGGTTTTTTTTCCCCGTGAAAGGCGCACCTCCTCTGAACTGAGCAAGCTGCACGGTAATTAAAATAGCAGGGGCTGGCGATTTCACACTGACGCCGCGAGATTAATCGCCACTCGCTTTTCTTTTATTTTTCTTTTGATATGCACGCCCAGAACCGCTCTCTGGGATCCTGCTTGGTAGATGGATGGTGGTGGAGAGTGATACCCAGTGATCTTGGCAGCAGGATGGGGAAGCACAGTCTGAGTGTTTTGAGTCTTTTTATTTGGTCACCCCGTGCACATGTTGTAAGCGATGCCGGTGACCTCACTGTGCATTCCTCTTTGGGCACATAGAACTCACCACCCTAAAAACACACCTACTGTACGACAAGCTGTCATCTAAAAATGAGAACGACGAAACTGCTGTGACTGGGCTGTTTGTCACCCCCCACCAGAAGTAGCCATTATTTATTAGGCTGTGTAGCTAAATCTGTGGCGTTTGGATAGATCTTTATCGGCTGGGACCTGAATATCTTTCAAAGGTTCATAGGTATAAAAGCGAGGCCCCTCCTGGAGCCTCAGCCAGCCAGCATTTGGATCTGAACGCTTAGTGCTGTCTGTCAGTGGTAATGCTCCCCCCCCCCTTCCTTCCTTCCCCAGCCTGTCAGTGTCATGGTAACGGCTCCCTGTCGGAGGTGTGCCACCACGAAACAGGCCAGTGCTCCTGCAAAGAGCACGTGATCGGGCGGCAGTGCGACAAGTGCGTGGTAGGTACCCCAACACCTCTCCTGCTTTAACTTTGTCATTTCTCTCAGATTATCTGAAACCTTCCTTGTTTAATGACTGCCTGCGCCATCATCATTGGGCAGGCAGTCAAAGGAAGGACAATGAACAGTATTGTCTATTGCTGATGAACATTAAGCCGAAGGTGGTTCATTTTGCTGTAAAACGGACGACCTGCACAATGTTGTATCAGCAGAGTCAGACCTGAAACCACGGCCGGTGATGTCCCCCTTCAGTGATTGGCTGTTGGGCGGGCGCTACCCGCTAGCAGCGCTAATGCCCTGTATCTGACATGCTGTCCTCCACTGTCCCGCCCGGCCAAGCCGAACTGCTGGTGGGATGCGGGGCGGCAGGTGTGCAGGCCCTGCTCGTGCAGCCCCGTGGGGGCCATGTCTCGCCGCTGTGACCTGGAGGGTCGCTGCATCTGCAAGCCGGGCTTCTCGGGCCGGCGCTGCGACCTGGCTCGCCAGGGCTACGAGCGCCGGGAGACACGCCGGCCCGTCCAGCAGGTCCTTCTGGAGCAAGTTCAGCAGCGCTGGGGGTCCGGCAGGGCCGGGGGGTGCACCAGAGGAGCGTATCGCCCCACGGGGGTAAACTGCACAGCATGCATGCGTGTTACAGCCAGCCTGCCCTTAAACTCCACCCCCTGTAATCCACACCATACTCTTTGATGCAGCCATACATAATTATATTTTTATGGCATGCCTTTGTACCCTATTATACGCCGCTGAACCTAGCCTAATTTAGCCTGTAAGATGACCCCTGACCTTTCTCCCATCCCATTCGACTCCATCCATTAGTGCCTTGGCTACATAATTGTCATGCAGTTTTACCTTATTTACACACCAAAGGCCCTGACTTTCGGACGTAACTGGCCCAGTGTCCTCTCTCACTGCCCCTACTCCAAAGGCATGCAGTATGACTCCACATCCACCTGATCCAAACTCGCCCCTGTGTTTTATGACATCATAGCCTATCATGTTACTCATATTGAGTTACCCTCCCATTTACACAATCCCCCAGTACTCCCTGCTCCTGCCCCCTGACCCTCAGAGCACCCCTTGACCCCAGTCACACACCTTAATCTATTTTCAACCCTCCTCCCCCAACCGGGAATGCGTGTGTCCCCCCCGCACGCTGACGTCATTCCTGCAGGCCTTTCACTAACGCCGTGTTTTTGGTTGGTTCCTCTCACATTTCGCATTAAAGCCCATGTGATTCCTGCTTGATGCCCATAAAAAGCCATCAAAGGCTTGTTTGAAATTACAACCCGCACTGCATTTCACCAGAAGCTGCACTGTGTTTTCTCACAGGAATGCTTTGATATGTGGGCAACTGATACGTGTCCAACTGGTTCCGGAAAGACATTTTTCTTTCCCATTTTTTGTTCTTCTAAAGAAGGGATTCAACAGCTAGAACAACCACTATAAAAAAAATTTGCAAAACTTTATAGCGACCTTAGTAATTCCAGGGGTGAATCTAAGGGGTGATCATGGCCTTTCCAACTAAATATGCAATCGTCCCTGTTGCTATAAAATAAAATGTGGATTATTTGATTTTCTAAGCATGTCACGGACACAGGGCTTGGTGCAGGAGGGGAAAGGAAGTGGCAATCCAATAGCGGCTCTGACACACAAGGCAGTTTATTAAGGAAATGAAATACACCGCAAAAACTTCAAACAAAAGGACCACGAGGGGTCAAACAACAAAATGGGGAAATCAGCTACTAACTACAAGAAATTACAAGGAAGCAAGAACAGGCAAGGAACCATAGCACAACCTCATAATACAACACAGAGTAACATCTAAGAATAACTCACTGAAGAACAGAGCAGGGCAGACCCTTAAAGACTTAGAAAACTAGGGCAAACAAGCAACATGCGTAGGACATACTCAATTAACTATTCAACACAGGCCGCAGGACAACACACAACAGAATAAAACAATTAACAAGCACTGGCAAGAAAACATGCAACAGGTGAAACTAATAATTAACTCACATAGAAACTAGCCAACTTAATATCAAAAACTAGGAACATTAACTACTGGGAGTTAAACACTAGGAATAGAACGCTAGGAGAATTAGACAGAACCAGAATGGAACAGAACAGAACACGAGCAGGGAATACCTAGGGCAAGAATACTACTAGAAAATAAATGCTGGGAAACAAAAACAAGAAATACAAATAAATGGATGAGATTGGTGTCTAAACAGCCTCAAACCCATGGTCAGAGTTACAGTCTATACCACACAGTCAACCCACTGAGCCACGCAGCAGTCTGAGGAAAGGGAAGAGCACACTGGGGCTGAATGACCAGAGACAGGGAGGAGGACAGGATGGCCAGCAACAGCTGCTGGCCAAACTGGGAGGAGACACAAAGGGTAGCGACCCTGACAAAGTGGGTCCATAGAGGGGAAAGGGTATGGTCACCCTCACGGAACCACCCAGGGAGCAAATGCACACATTAATGATACAATATGCATGTGATCATCAAACAAAGACATTTAGCCAGCAGCGAATGCAGTTCACTGACCCTCCTGATGGGGGCGCACTCACAGACCTCCGTGCGGCGACACAGATTAGCGGCCGCGCTCAGCCGGTGCACTGTACGATCAGACGCCTACTGCAGCAAACCATCTGCTCCCCGTGGCTTCCTTCCGCTTTTGCATTTGCTGCACGCCGCCCAGTTTATTAATCGGAGACTGGAATCACGCCCCCCCTCTGCCGTGCAGTCCACATGCCGCCATCTCATATTATAATGTGTTAGCCCTGTATTACAAAGTGCAATTATATCCTAGACGCGTTATTATGCTGTAAATGTTCTAAATGCTTCCTGATGGACAGTACAGGTGGACGTTTCATTGTGTTGCTGATTTTTTTTTTTTTAAATAATGTCCGCACTGGGTGTCCCAGGAAATTCTAAGCTTCCACTCCGCAACATATGCTGGAGTGTTAATTAATTGGCCATGCTGGAGATGCCGACTGAATGTGCTGCATGATTCAAAACAAGCAAAAGAGGGGAATGCATTGTTTGAGACCTCCGAGAGTGTTTTTGCTGTGTTTTTTTTTTCTTTCTTTGGAGTGTGTCATGGTGTGTAACTCAAGATTGTGCGGACACCTCTTGGACCTGCATTGTCTCGGTGCCATACAATGGAAAATTGCGTCCAGTTCCATATCTGAGATGATCTCAAATATTTATGTGAATGAAAGAAACTGAGACACGCGAGAGTAAACCTTCCAGCAAGCTCCAAAGGAGATTGTCCTCTAAAGAGTTTGTTTCGGGCAAATAATAACCATGATATTCAGAGCTGGGTTGTAAAATTGCTTAATTTCTATGGTAAAATGATGAATACATTTAATAAGTGTACTTTGTTATAAAAAGTCCAAAATGTATTCATTTTATTAGCCATGAGGGTGGCCAGAGGCTGTTTGGCTGAGGCGAGACCAGAGCCTGGGCTTCCTGCTTGAATAAAACACCCAAATCCTGCAGCAAACCAGAGCTGCTCGTGGATCAGCACAAGGCCACCTGATCTCAGGGCTGGATCGGGATTAAAAATCTGGCCTTGACTTTGGGGTCTTCAGCAATACATTTTCCTGACTGGGGGGTCCCATAAATTCTGCCGACCCACATACAGTACCCATCGGCCCACCGGGAAAATTCTCGGTATTCCGGATGAGCATTCCAGCCCTGCATGGTCTTCAGATCTGATCCGAACCTCAGACTGGTTTCCTGATCAAGTCCCACAACGCCTGACTGTGCATACCAGTGTGTCCATAGAGCCGCGGCGATTCCATTCCCACCGCGGGCACCGCCGCTCTGACATGCCACCCTAAGCGCGCATTCCTCCCCCCCACAGGCCACCACCTTCGGCGTGCAGTCAGGACGCGGCTGCATTCCCTGCAACTGCAACTCCTTCGGCTCCAAGTCCTTCGACTGCGACGAGGCGGGCCAGTGCCGGTGCCAGCCGGGAGTCGCCGGCCTCAAGTGTGACCGCTGCGCCCAGGGCCACTTCAACTTCCAGGAGGGGGGGTGCACACGTAGGCTCCGCCCACTCCCGCTCACTCCCGCCCACTCCCATCCGCCGTTAACGCATTCAGATAGAAGAATGACTTCTTTGTTCACGGCTGAATGCGTTTAATGCTCTCCCACCGCTTAGCGTGAACAGATAGATAAATTTACTGGCATTAGAGACCTGACATTTTACACCCCGCCCCCCCTTCCCAGCATGCCAGTGCTCCCATGTGGGGAATAACTGCGACTCCAACACCGGACAGTGCATCTGCCCCCCACACACGGTGGGAGAGAGGTGTGACAAGTGTGCCCCGAATTTCTGGGGTCATGACATCATCACTGGTTGTAAGGTGAACCCTCTTCCTCAATTTCTTTACTTTTTCCTCTTTTCCTCACACAGAACATGGATAGGTCCTGATTCATTACTTGTTAAATAACCCCGAAATATGTAAAATAAGATAATTGACTTCAAATTGACATTTAACTGGATAAACAATGCTTAATTGCCTGTCATCCTCAGTCGAGGGGTTTCTCTTTTATTTGTTTATTCATGGAAAATGCACCCTTAAAAATTTGTCCTGTTAGTCAGACATCTGTTATGAAACTAAGGATTTTATTAGTGGTAAGTTTTTCATTTAGAGCAAAAATGAATCCACTTCTTCTGCATCTTCTGCGTCACTGATGTCCGTGGTTTTCGCCCACAGCCGTGCGAATGCAACGTGATCGGCTCCGTGACCCCGCAGTGCAACATCAACACGGGCTGCTGCTTCTGCCGGGAGCAGTTCACCGGGCAGAAGTGCACCGAGTGCAAAGTGGGCTTCCGCGACTTCCCACAATGCACCCCCTGCGATTGCTCCCTGGCCGGCTCGGCCAGCCAGACCTGCGACGCCGACCACCGCATGTGTTCCTGCGCCGACACGACAGGCCAGTGCACCTGCAAGGTACCACAAAGCGTGTCGGAACGTGGTTCTGTGTGCTTCACTGCAGACCTCTATGTACAGCAAATGTCGCTGGAAAAGTGTAAAATCTTATCGAAGTACTGACATCTGGTTCTCCCTGATTTTTTTTCTCTTATCTAGAAATATAATTACGCCTCACTTTTAAGCTTCCATAATGCTTCGCTGCCACGGTCGAGTTTATTTCTCTTTTTCAATTGTTTCTCTATCATTAGTCCTTTACGTAACAATGCTCTTGCTTAGTTTGTGCGGATGAGTCAGGGTTTCTTAGAGCATCATGACAGCAGCAGCCGGCTTTCAGACACTTCCTCCATTCCTGCTCCTGTCAGCCGCAGAGCTCGCATCTTCCTCCATTTTTATTTGCGTAATCCAATGCGGGGAGGCCACACACCGTCTTTGGTTATGACCCCCAATCCGCTTGCGCCATAGCATAATAAAATTTTTTAAAATTGGTCAATAGGTGACAGGAGAAGTAGCAACTGAGGAATGCAGCTGAACTTGATGTAAATGTGTAGGTGACAGTCTGTGGCTGTTTAACCCTGCGGTTCTCAAGCTGGGAGTTTATCCTAGCCCCCCCCCCCCCGACGAATCTTATTGTATTGAAGAGGGTTGACGGGGGTCACACCAATGGTTTCTGTGGGGTCTCCAGACAAAGTTTGACAAACGTTGGATTAACCAGCAGCCAAGTTTTGCTGTGCTGTTCACAGGGTGGTCAGGCCCAAAGTCAGGCCCAGTTCCATGTGCCCCCCCCTGCACACCCCACCCAGGACGTCCGGAACATGCAGTGTGACCCCTCCCCCATACACGCGCACACACCAACTCGTCTCAGCCTGATAGCTGCAAATGCTGCACGCGGTGAACTCCAGCCCCGGCCCCCCACCTGCCTCCCTGTGTGTGGCTCAGCCCTGGGATCCTCTGGCAAGCTGGGGGAGGAAGGCATAGGTGCACTGGGGGGGGGAAAGGGGGGGAGCACGTGGGAAGCGCAGTAGAAATAGACTCGGCGTGGGTGTGGGCATTCAAATGAGGCACTGCCATGGATGACAGCGGCGTGACACGCTGCGAGGCCCCCGCCACTGTGAGCGAGCGAGAGAGAGAGAGAGAGGGGGAGAGAGACGGGGAGAGAGAGAGAGAGCAAGCGAGGACGGGGACGGCAGGTGATGATTCTCATTAAAGGCACATCACTCCGTACACAGGCGTACCTCCGCACCGCCCCTCTTAATCTCATTAGTCTTTTTATTGTACCTCCCTTCCCCACAGATGCTTAATTTTGGGCTCATTTTTGGGGCAGAATCAGCTAAGCAGCACCAGCCAGTTGGAGCCCTGGTGCAAAGTCATCCCCGAAATCTGGCGGAGTCTTTATGATTCCCTGTGACATCTTATCTCGCCTGTCCCGCGCTCCCAGTTGCCGGGGGAGATGGGGCCACATGGCACAGTCACGCATGTGACATGCCTGTCAGGGCCGTCTCAGATCGAGCCCCCGGCTCATTACCTCGCTGTCACCATGGCGAGGTCGCCGCGCGTGCCTCCTCTGACCGGATTAACGGGCGACTCTCGCCAGCTCCGTCCGGGCATGGACAGCAGCGCGCCATTAAACCAGAACTGCCGCTCATGCCTTTTACCGATGATGGGTAGATTCACGTGGTAGATCCTTCCGGAGCAGGAAGCCGAGCCTCTTTGCCATTCCTCGTCGGTCCTCCGGATGGGCTGCACCGAGCCGCTTACTGCAGAGGAGCTGACCGCAGCACGGCACTCGCGCAGCATCTGCGCCAGGCTGCGCAGTCATTTGTAACACTGTTAGCTAGTGCTATGCGGGGGAGTGGCAGTGTTTTATTCATTTGTTTTGTTTGTTTGTTTGTTTGTTTGTTTAGTCGTTTATTTATCCAGTCCTTTTCCATAATGGAAACACAGGATACCTTGGATGGAATGCCAGTCTGTCGCAGGACACACACACACACACACACACACACACCAGAGGACATTTACCTTTACATTTATTTTATTTAGCAGATGATGCAGAAGCAAGGGAAATAGCACATTACATTCAGCCGTGTGACCACACAGTGCTACCCAATGAACTACTGCACTGTCCATTGTTCATTCATTCATTCATTCATTCATTCACTAACTACTCTTTCTTCCTCCATCCTTTCATTGGATAATTCATTAATTTGTGCTTTTATTCATCGCTCCATCTATCCAATTATTTGTTGATTGATTGATTGGCTGATTCATTCAATCATTCCTACTAGAGCAGGATCATCATAAAGCCGTCCTCTTGTTGCACAATCTCTGCTGCGTCCTAAACCCTCACTGCCGCTGTGACTGCAGGCCAGCGTGGAGGGGCTGGCGTGTGATCGGTGCCGGCCGGGGACCTTTGGGCTCAGCGTGAGGAACCCGCTGGGCTGCAGCCAGTGCTACTGCTTCGGCATGTCTGACACATGCAGCGAGGCCCCTGGGCTCATCCGTATGTGGGTAGGTGGCGTCTGCACTGACTCACCCCGGAGGGCCGTCCATCCCATAATGCTGCACGACCTGGGCCAACAGATGGGCACAGAAACGTTAGCGGTTAGCGTTTTGGCCCGGGGAGCAAGTCGTAAATAAATATAGTTATCTGTGAGACAGGGTTTGGGACCTGCTCCCTACAGCCCTCTAGTAATTAGGTTCTGAACACTAGAGTCATTTATCACCTGAAATGATGGAAGTCCAGAAGGGCATCAAAAGGTGCCATCATGCCTCAAAGCTAGCAAGAGCAAGCCACTTAGGTGTCACGCCAGTAAATCAGGACAGGAGCAAAAATGTTCTGATGGCAAAAGGAACAATGATTGGTTCAGAGAGGTAACCAATCAAAATGTAGAGGACATGGGCCCAAACAACTAAAGGAGGCAGGACCAAGACATCTGATTGGTTGGTCCCGCCTCCTCTAGTTGCTTGGACCCACCTACTCTACAATCTTACTGGTTTTTTCTCTGAACCAATCATTTTTCATTCTGCCCTCAGAACATTTTTGCGTAAGTTAAACTCCTACAAGCGCAGCAGTGGCTACTGAAGAATTAGAGAACTCATGACCTTTACCAATTTTCAGTCTCAGAAGGATAATGCGGACTTATTCTGTATATTGGTACATGCGTTAAATAAAACTCAGGGATTCAAGGCCAGCTGAACAAACAGTAAAATAAGAGATTTCTTCTGGCCTCACACCTTTGCGAAGAACACACCAACCGCTCGCTATTTCTCATGAAATTAAGCAGGAGATAAATATAGGAGGGCGCAGGTGCAAACAGAAACGCGTGCGACCTGGGTGATGGCAGAGGGCCGCCGAGAAATATTTTCCTGTTTGTTTTTAATAAGGATTTTCTTGGCAAGAGCCGGGATCTGATAAATCTCTGTGTCCATGGAGACGCAGGCTGAGGACTTGATCAGAGGACACTTTTATATAAATGCGAACTGCGGCTAAATTAAATAAGGAATGCAGCTCAAACTTAATCTAACTCTGTTTGCTTTAAGGGGACGCCAGTTGACAGTCTCTGCCTTTATTTATTGGAATGCAAAGGATTTTCCCTAAGTCACTGAGTCGTGAGATTACTAGCTGAAGGATGGAGAAAAGCCCACTGAGACCCGCTTGGATTTAAACGCTGTCTTTAATGTCATTCGCTTCTCCATCACTGGGGTCCCTGAGCGTCTGAGGGCCATTGTTTGGGCCCCTCGGAGGGCAGCGGAGGCTGATCTCTCAGACATGAGGCTGCTGCCGCCACACACGGCCGAACACGTCACACCCGGGTCTCACAAAACCTCCCTCATGTGCTCCTGATCATATGCGTATGATTACAAAAAAATGTCTTTACAGCCTGCCCATCAGGTAACATAGCAAAACTTGCTAAATGCGAATGGTGAGAGTTCACTGTGCTGTTTTTTTTGATGTGCCTGACTGTGGTGGTCCCTGTCTGGTGGTCACTGTCCGGCAGTCCCTCTCCGGTGGTCCCCCATTCACGAATCACTTATTCCCCCCTCCCCAGCTCACCCTGAAGCCTGAACAGACAATGCTGCCTCTGGTGGACAAGGCCTGCCGTCTGACGACCACACAGGGCATTTCGTTCCAGTACCCCGAGATCATCGCCCACGCAGAACTGGTGACCCGCGAGCTGTCGGAGCCGTACTACTGGAGGCTCCCAGAGCAGTTCCAGGGATCCATGGTCATTACACGTCAGCACACCACTGAACCGCTAACACACATTACCGCTGAACACACCACTAATGCTAACTGGTCTGGGATGGGCAGGGCAGCCTGGTGTTTTATTAGCGTTCTGCACCTCAGACTCTCACTCAAACATGCCAGTTAAATGTTCTCAGGTATATTGCTGAGACACATAAAAAACTCATTACCATATTAATATCCCAGTGTTAAAGCAATGTGCAGGGGTGTAGCTACAGGTGGGCAGGGGTGTGGCTACAGGTGGATGGGGCGTGGCTACAGTTGGAGAGGGGCGGGGTTACAGGTGGAGAGGGGTGTGGTTACAGGTGGATGGGGCATGGCTACAGTTGGAGAGGGGCATGGCTACAGTTGGAGAGGGGCGTGGTTACAGGTGGATGGGGCATGGCTACAGTTGGAGAGGGGCATGGCTACATGTGGATGGGGCATGGCTACAGGTAGGCAGGGGAGTTTCTATGGGTGGAGAGGGGCGTGGCTACATGTGGGCAGGGGTGTGGCTACAGTTGGAGAGGGGCGTGGTTACAGGTGGATGGGGCGTGGCTACATGTGGGCAGGGGTGTGGCTACAGTTGGAGAGGGGCGTGGTTACAGGTGGATGGGCGTGGCTACAGATGGGCAGGGGGTAGTGTTTTTGTTGCCCACCCAACAGGGACGGACCAAATTTAATCATTAATGATTTCATTTTACTGTCACCACCCTCCTGTCCCCGGCCGACCTCAACACAACACGACCTCAACCCTGTACACCCAAATGCCGACTAGCAGTGGTAACAGTTCAGGTAGAGTGTCAAGAAAGGAAACGGCAGGACTGGAGCTCACACCCTGACTTTCAAGATGATATGACAGCCAAGTCTGAGAATGAACTGAAAATTTGTGGCACACGTGAAAATTTTACCGTTAAAATGTACTGTAATGATTTGGTATCTTTCTGACTTAATTTAAATGTTGGTCTCGCTGAATTTCTTCCTGTGTCCAGATAACGGCATATGGAGGAAAGCTGAAGTACACCATATATTACGAAGCCCGTGATGAAACAGGACCCTCTTCCTACGAGCCCCAGGTGATCATGAAAGGAGGTCCCCAGAAAGACAAGCTGATAATGCGGCACATGCCCGGCCTGCAGATCGGCCAGCTGACCCGGCATGAGATCGAGATGACCGAGGTGAGAGTCAGCCGCACCGCGTTTGACACACTGACTCGCTAACACGCTGACATGCCACCATGCAAACACATGGGCATGCTAACACAATGACATGCTAATACACGGACATGCTAACATGCTAACATACTAACACACTGATGTGCTAGCATGCTGATGCGCCGAGTCAGTGCAGTTTGCACGTTTGGTCTGAAGCTGATCGTCATGGTTCTCGTTTTAGCACGACTGGAAACACAGCGATAACAGTGCAATGTCACGCAAGGACTTCATGAACGTGCTGTTCAACATCGAGTACATCCTCATTAAGGCCTCCCACGGCAGCTTGATGAGGCATAGCAGGTGAGCTGGCATCGGCCCCCAAGCTACAGGACGACCCCCCCCTGCCTCAGCACGCGTCCGATAAGCAAAAACACAGCATGCCGTCACCGTGACAAGATGATGCCAGTGAAGCCAATGGCCTCGTTGATGGCTGTCAAGCAGAGTGTCAACAGGCAGTGAATTCTGTCTCCCGCTTGCGATGGACAGTCAACGAGCTTCCCGCATCCTAACCACTTCCCATTTAAACTCTGCAATGGCAGGATCTCTGAGATTTCCCTGGAAGTTGCAGAGGAGGGGCGCCCCTCAGTGGAGAGTGAGCGTGCCTACCAGATCGAGAAATGCGAGTGCCCGCTGGGATATTCGGGCCTGTCCTGTGAGGTGAGCAGTGCTCCCGTCCATCCTCAGTTGGCCCCAAGCCTCTCCTCGCTAACACAAACACACATCCCGCTCTGGGCTGCCTTCTCCAAACTTCTGGGACCGTACAGGGTTTCTATGCCTCCTTAAGGGAGCCTTAGGACGTAGAAAAAAACAAACTTTCACTTTGCCATTCTGACTTCGGAGATGAGAAGTGTGATTGATGTGTGGTACGAGCAAGGGGGCCTTCAGGAAGCCGGCTGCGAGCCGTCGGGTGGGTGAAGCAGATGGCATTTATTTTAAGCTGCCGCATAGTTAATAAAGCATTTTTTTAAATGGGCATTTAGCGTGTTTGTTGTGAACAGATGGCTTTCCAAATTGACCCTATTAATACTGAGCGTGCACGTTCCGTGCCTCTCCTGAGCCGGCCGATCCGGGGCTGATGCTCTGTCTTGTGGCCGGCCCTCTGACAGGAATGTTCTGCTGGCTTCTACCGGGTGGCGGAGCATGCTGGAGGCCGGGTTTCCCACACTGGCATTGGCAGCTGCGTCCAGTGCCAGTGCAGCGGCCACAGCGAGATCTGCGACCCCGAGACGTCCATCTGCCAGGTGATCATGTTGACTGCTGTCGCCGAGCTACATACCAGCACAGACATTCTTTCCTGAATTTGCTTAGCGCAGTAAAAGCTCTTGTATCCGGCAATATCTAGTATCCGGTAATCTCTCATATCTGGTAACGATGAATTTTTTATTTTTATACAGGTATTATACAATTGTTCTGGTTACTTGAACGGCGGATACGAGAACTTTTACTATATATCGCCGATGTAGTAAACGAAGCAAAGTCTTGTCCGATGACACACCTCCACAGGGAGACAGGAAGTCCGTTTGTCTCCACGGTAACGAGTGCATCACATGGACCCGCATTGCCGCTGTCTAGCTGGGCCCGACAGTGCCCCTCCCTCCACTCCCCCTGTCATTGTTTCCCCGGGCATGAAATTCAACTTCAGCCTCGAGCTCATTTGCATGTGTGCTAATAACAATGTCATTTGCATTTTACAGAGCTGGAAAATTGAAAATGTTAAATGAACGCATACGGCGCGGTTCCGTTAATGGCGGCACGCGCAGCGTTAAATGGAAGGCCCCGGACAGCGTGCTTCGTTGAGCGGCTGCCCTGGTTGGCTGATTCCAGCTGTACCGACACTTGAAAATGTCAGAGAATAAAACTATTGCAAAGGCTGCTCCTCTCTCGCTGGTCGTGGGCTGTCAATCGCTTCCAAAATGGCAGTCGAGCCTTTTTGCTGGCTCTTTTTTCTGCTCTGTTCCAGCCAAGCAGTCTATTGTGTTAATGACTGACTCATTAACATCTCTTATTTCAGATAAGTTAGTTATTGCTAAAGTTAGTGGCCCAGAGAGCCCACTGCCTCAGCAGACAAGGCAAGTATATATTCAAATTTATACAGAAGCACAAAATGCAGCAGTTTCTGAAACGATTGGAGTGTGAAATCAACTATCTAGACAGTAAAGTATTGACAGGGACCAGCTATATCATAAGCTCCAAATTTTAAGTTAGAGTTTCACTTTTCAGGTCTTGTACTAATACCTGCAACCAAATTCTTTCTGACGAATATGCAAGAGCTATGTGCCAACAGAACAGAAGGTTATGGCTGCTTGAGGCTATCAGATCGTATCACCACTGGATGCTTCAAAGGATCTAAGGGTCAGGCGATTGACCAAGACCCTTAACTCCAGAGCCTTGGACACTGGCTGACCCTGTGTTCTGGCTTGAGACGTCTTTCTCCTGGAAAGCAATGTTGTGACCCTGAAGTTTAAACCACAACACATTCAGAAAACAATTTTCTTAACGTGTTTTGAACTTCAGGGCCACCGTAGAGTCAGGTCACGTGTATGAAAACCAAAGAATTCTTTTGTGCTTTGTCCAAATGTAGTGTGTTTTATTTTATTAATTGTATTGTGCGTTTTATTATTTGATGCACAGACAGTGTACAGTACAATAATAAAATAGAGTAATATAATATAAAACAAACAGTAGATAAATCAGACAGTGCCTACATTCTATACCGCTGATGTTGCAGAGTTAGGTTGCATAATATCGATGAAGCTGACACACATAGTGCAGATGTGTGTGCAAGATGGCTGTGGGGAATATGGGTTTATGACTAAGCTTCGGGTTGTATAGCTTATTTTTCCTGACTTGCCACATGTGGATGGAGGCCGGTTATGAGTGATTATTAGCTGTCATGCAGCAGGTGACCGTGGTGACGCCTGGTGTCCTTGACGGTGGCGTTAGTCGGGTGCCGCCCTGGGCTGGGGTTGTGGAGTTCGTGTAGCTCAACAAGAAGCAGATGGTGCTGATAACGCAAAGTTCATGGGTTCAAATCCTAGGGAGTATGAATAGATTGTAACCCTCCCCTCTTTGGTGAGTGTGTTTGGATGGAAACGGGCAGTACTGTCTGAATTGAAACATTGAGGTTTTGGTTGGGGGGGGGGGGTCCCCCAGAGGTGGCAGTGGTATGGTGAGTGTTTTTTTGACTCGGGTGGGGAGGTTGACACGCCATAGCTGTGCCCCTGGTCCTCGGCACGGCTGGCGTCTTGCTGTTCAGGTGCGTCTGTCTGACTCGCATAATCGAAACTGCTTCCTGCCCTGAGTGTGCCTCTCTCCCCCAGGCCTGCCAGCACAACACGGTGGGTGACCGGTGCGAGCATTGTGCCCCTGGCTACTACGGCGTGGTGCGAGGGTCCCCCCAGGACTGTCGGGCGTGTGCCTGCCCCCTCACCAACCCCGAGAACAAGTAGGGCTGCCCTATCACGCGCCTTGCCTCCTCCTGGTGGTCGCCCCGGGCAACCAGCACTGACTTTTCGCCCCCCCCCTCCCTGCAGTTTCAGCCCCACCTGTGTCCTGGAGGGTTTCAATGACTTCCGCTGCAACGCCTGTCCTGAGGGTTACGAGGGAAAGTACTGCGAGAGGTACACGTCCCCGCCGTGATGTCACCGAAGCTGCGGCGCCATCGCTGACGGCTTTTGACCACGCCCTTCTCGCCCCCAGGTGCGCCAGCGGTTACCACGGTGACCCCCAGGTGCCGGGCGGGCGCTGTGAGGAGTGTAAGTGTGACCCGGTGGGCGCTCTGCCCGAGCCATGTGACCCGCGGACCGGGCAGTGCATCTGCCGCCCAGGGGCAACCGGACACACGTGTGGCGTGTGCATGGAGCGGCATGTGTGTGAAGCATCCCAGATAGTGTGTACGTACCCCGCCTGGGCACGCCGCTCTCGGCCCCCCGCACACCCCTCCAAATGTGATCTGTTTCTCATTTCTGACTGCTTATACGTATTTGTGGAGTAATATGCTTCTTAATCACCTGTGTGTGTTAATGTTACAGCTCTGCGCTAATGAAAAATCTTTATAAGACTCCTGGTTTATTTGAAACTGATTGCATTCCCTCCTCAGTGTTAACAGACAGTATAGGAATTAGATTCTGGGCATACTTGTAATGCTTTTCCGAAGTAATCGTCGCAGGCATTTTGAGGTTAGTCATCTGCTTTAATGATCCGGTACGAATAAGCCGCCACAAAGCAGAGAACAAGCAGAGCTATTGGGCCGCAGGTAGCAGGCACCTGCAGATCTGATTAAACGGATCTTCTCTTGTTGCTCTTGCATCAGTTTATTGCGTTGTTGATGGCCTCCTTTGATTGGCCTAAAAGCTGCTGGACGTGGGGTATGTTCCTCGCCTGTGGATGCAGAGCCTCGGGTGCATGCTGCCTGGGATTTTGACGTGGTAACATCTGGAATGTTAATCGCCGTTTTGGCGCCTGTTTGTGCCTGAAGAGTGTAATTGGCAAGACAGCTGGTAGCATGCCGGGTCTGTTAAACGTGGCCATGGGTCCCCGTCCCCCCCCCCATACCCCGTATAGGTTTGTGGGGGTGAAGGAGCATGTAACCTTGCAGATTGTGCATGACGTGCAGCCGTCTCCTTCAGTTGTGTCCAGCCTCGACAGATCGAGTCGGTCCTCCCTTTTCCAAATCCCAGCTCAGTTCCAGGGGGTTAAACTTTAATATCTGGCCGCTTGATTCCCTTTGAAGGCACCTCTCAAAGTATACATTGCAGAGGCACTGTGGGGACATTAAAAATCCATACAAAACGCGACTCCTGAGCCAGAATGCCCCACTCCCCCCGCCGCTCGACACGTGTCGGGAGTCTCAAAGGGGCAGCCAAAGCCTCTTTCCCCTCTCTGTTAAATTTCACACTCGAAATCACATTCCCCAACGGCACTCTTACTTAATCTCAAATAAGCAAAAAAAAATCCAGGATCCTCACAAGCTTAAAAATGTCGAGAGGTCCCTTCTCGTGTTTTTTTTTCTTTACCTAGTTCTGTTTTCCGGGAAGTTGCATTGTGCGTTAAATTGGATGAGGCTGAATGGCGCTAAGCAGCGGCGCCGGTTTCTCCGCGGCTGCCGGCGGAGTCGCGCGTCTGCAGCCGTCGAAGGCTCCCACAAACCGCAGCAGGTTGCCGGGCAACACAAGCTCCTAAAAGTTCCACGTCCACTTTAGCTTCGGATGGGCGTTTGAGCTGAGGAGCTGACACTGGCGGGGGGTTGGAGGATTCGTGGGGGGGGGTGGGTGAGTTGGCTGAGAGACACGCACAGTCTAGCAGAGCATCTCGTTAGTTTCTTGTAGCTGGAGCTAATAGGATACGGTGATGGAGCTGACAGTAACGGGCTGTGTGTGTGTGTCTGTCTGCATGTTTGTGTGGGTGTGTGTATGTGTGTCTGTATCTGTGTGTGTGTGTGTCTGTATCTGTGTGTGTGTATGTGTGTCTGTATCTGTGTGTGTGTGTGTCTGTATCTCTGTGTGTGTACGTGTATCTGCGTGTGTGTGTGTGTGTGTGTATGTGTGTCTGCATGTGTGTGTGTATGTGTGTCTGTATCTGTGTGTGTGTGTATGTGTGTCTGCGTGTGTGTGTGTATGTGTCTGTGTGTGTGTGTGTGTCTGTGTGTGTCTGCCCCCCCAGCCTGCGACGACGACTGCAGTGGCGTGCTCCTCAACGACATTGACGGGCTCCACCGCCTCATCTCCAGCGTCAACCTCACCAGCCCCCTTCCCCCCCCCTACAAGGTGCTCTACAGGTTCGAGAACATGACAGAGGAGCTCAAGGTAAACCTGAGATGCTGCTGGCCCTTAGCCAAGGCGAAATCTCCAGGCTGGGAAGTAAACTGGGTCTGACTGCTGGGAAAAGATCATAAGTGAGAAGAAGAGAGGAAGAGGGTGGCAGGGGAGAGAGGCACTGGGCCAAACTGGGCCGCGCACGCATCCTGTTACACCATTAGCATCCTGTGAGCCGAGCTATAAACACATGCTTAACTCGCGTACGATTTCACCAAGCCGTATGCGGATGCTTGTTCTGCTTTTGCGGTTTTTTTTGTATGTTTTTGTATTGTGGATTCTGGGATTCTGGGACGAGCGGAATTCGAAGCCCCGAGTAACGGCGGCTCTGGTCGCCTTTCTACCCGTTCACTCAAGTCCTCAGTCTCCCAGGCGACTTCCCCCATACGTCGCATTAAAGGGCTCACACATCCTCAAGACGACGTTTCCTCCCGACTCTGAACGTCTGCCGCCTCGGGGAAATCGCAGACATTAAAGAACTCCATCTGCGGTCTCTCGTGTTAAACGCTTTAGATACAACGGAAGATAAAGACACAATATTGCTGCCCCTGAACAAGTGGATTTTGTTTCCAAAGTCTTCAAAAAAGACAGGAACAGGGCAGGCGCACAGTCACCCGATTACAGACGGGTATCTATCAGGTCGCTTCCAGTAGTGATCTCTAGGTTTCTGGCTCTCTGAGGCACCTTCACGCCCCCTCTGTTCAGCGGCTTGTGAACCAGCAGCCTGTGCTCACCGCTCACCTCCCTGCAGTTATCTTCAGTTATGGGGCAGCGGTAGATAGACAGCCAGGTGGCAGCACTGTTCCGTCAACTTCAAGGGCTGCCGCGATTTACACACTTCCGGAAGCTTCCGGCAGATTGTGTGACTCGCCCGGTCTCCCTCTCCTGCAGCACCTGCTCTCCCCCCAGAGGGCGCCAGAGAGGCTCCTCCAGTTGGCAGACAGCAATCTGGGCAGCTTGGTGACAGAGATGGATGAGCTTCTGGGCCGTGTATGTTCCCGAATTCCCGCACCCTCTGCTCCCTCTGTCCCGACCCGCCTTGGCGTGGTCTCTGCAGCTCTCAGCCGTCGTCTGCTGAAGCTGCCTCCATCTTAATCAGCTCCGCCATCTGCATCTTTCTTTCCTCTACGTATGCCACCACATAAGCACCCATATTTATGACATACTTGCCGCCCGAGTCTGTCCCGTGCCAGGCTCAGATTCGTCGTCACGGCAAACCGTTTCTGTTTCCGCAGTCGACCAAGGTGTCAGCGGACGGTGCGCAAACAGACGCCGACTCCGAAAGGATTCAGAAGAGGGCGGAAGACCTGGAGCTACTGGTCAAGAATACCCTCCTGGGTGCTAAAGGTGAGGAATGCAAAAACCAGTTCATTCTGAACCTGGGCCCATCATGGTGTCATTGGTGGATGGTGGGTTAAGCTTCAGTGCCGGTGATCAGAAGGTCGCCAGTTCGAATTCCATCTTGAGTGGTATAGTTGTACCTCTGTTGGGCCCTTGATCGAGACCCTTAACCCCTCCCAAATTTCTCCAGGGGTGTTGAATAAAGAACTTGACCCTATATTTGAACTTTTTGTATTTCTGTGTGTATGCCTCAAAGAGAGCATGATGGTATATATGAAAAGAAGCATCGCAATACACTTCTTCAAATGGAAATAAAGCATCATTTCAGATTCACTCCCGGAGTGTTTTCCAGCATTTTGCCCGTCAAAGCCGAGTGCCAGAGATTTGAAACAGACAGCAGGGTCACAGTATAAAAGGGAGGCGTCTCCTCAGTCTGCATCCGCTTCTATCATTCTGTGATTAGACAGCCTCTGCTGTGAAACAGTTTTCCCGCAGTTAAAGCCGATGGATGATTGTGCTTAGTGATGGCCCCAGCGGTGCAGCGCCGTGGCTTAATTAAAAGGCAGCCGAACGGCGCCAAACTGGCACGGCGCGTGCCCTTCACAGGTAACCGGGGGAGACGAGCCAGGGTAACCGGGGGAGACGAGCCAGGGTAACCGGGGGAGACGAGCCAGGGTCCTGCTCAGGTGGCGAGCCGGAGCGGGTGGTCTCAGGGTCGCACCTGCAGCTCGGCGGGTGGCCCTGCCCCGCGTGTGCTGTCCAATCAGAGGCCAGGACGTCGATGGCGACGTAACACGGACAAGTGGCGGCAGATGAAAAGTCCAATCGGACGGGAGCCTGCAGAATATTCATGTGTAAACAAGTTAAAATGTGGAGACTGAATCCAACTTAAAGTACTTTAAAACGCAGTGGGCTGTTATTCGGGGCTGGACAACGTTAATAGAATGTATTCTTTCTTTGTAATCTTATTAGGCACTTTTTGTTTGAATTTGGGAAATGCGTTTAATTACGCTCCATTTTGATGGTTTTTATGTAAATTAAAACCCACTGTGAGACTCCCCTGCTTTTGAAATGTGCGGTTTGGATTTCAAAGACTAAATTAATGTGATTAAAGCCTGCCAAGCCGGATTTGAATTTCTTTGAATCGACCAAAAAAAAAAAAAAAAAGACCCGCATCGAATGGAAAGAAAAAGAGCCATATTTGTGTTTTGTTGTCGTCCTCTTCCCCCGGCCTGCCTTTCAGCTCATCCAAACGTGGCACAGCGGCTCCTCTCACGGCCTCTCCCAGCGCGGATCGCACGCAAAGCCTCCGTAAATGCTCCAGCCAGCCTGTATTCCTTGCTTCAGAATTAATTGGTCTTTGGACCAAGTGATAGGTTGAGATTAGCTTGAAAGCCGTATACCTCTCCGTGCCAAGGGGTAGCCAGCGTAGGTTGTTTTATGCGAGTGATTTGTTGTATGTTTACTGGGCTGCAGTCTGTGTTCCTCACTGGCTCTGCCTTCCTGCAGTTAATCGGTTTGTAACTTTACTCTATAGCTACCCCAACAGAAGCAGTCTGCCTCTAAAAAGCAATGGGGGTATGTCTCCACCTTGCTACATGTCCTGCATTTCCCATGATGCTCTGCGTGCCTCATGCTCCTCTGAAAGGCAGTGGGGGTATTTCTCCTGCTTTTCCCGTGATCAGGTATGCCTCCTGGTGTAACGCAGAGTCCTTCGCTTTGTCTCCAGTTCTTCAGGACAAGGCCCAGCACCTGAATGAGACGCTGGGCTCCCGCGACGGCACCCCCGAGAAGAGCCTGCAGGAGATGCAGAAGGAGATTGAGGCCATGCTGGCGGAGCTGCGCAAGCGGCAGTTTGGGGGCAAGAAGCAGATCTCGGACGAGGAGCTGGGGTAGGTGGCGCCCTCCGCAGGACCACACCAGGCACTGCGTGAGAGAGTACCTTTCATACATTTCAGGTTGCTTTTCTTGAGTATTTCTTTGCTAAGTATTGGTCAGTTTCTGTATTCACAGCAGTGACTAATCACTTTCTTCTTGAGGTCTTGACATTAATGTGCGTCTCCCTCACTGTCCATGTGTAGCGTAGGCAGCAGTCAGAGCCCTTCACACACTACGCCCCAGAGCATGATGGACCCCATGTCATACTGGCTGGTCTTTGTGAGCGTGCGCGTGCGTGTGGGGTCTGCCTGGGCCCCTGCCGGCTGTTCCCGCTTCCTCCCTCCCCTGTTCAGGATGCTGGGGATTCTCCCAGTAACCCTCGTCTGTGCGTCGCATCCTGCCACGGCGCCTTGGCGTGCCGCGTGCAAAACCCATATGGGTTTGGGTGGTTTTGGGAAAAGGACGAGGGTGGGCGGGGCCAGATGAGTCATCTACAGCGAAATCAGCCTGCTGTATAGAACACTGGGCCCATGTTCTAAGTACAGCATCTAGATCATAAACACCAGCATTAAACGAGAAAGCGATCCGTGCTGGAGTGAGACCACATCAGTGTGCTTTGCTGGATGCTTGCATGCAGTGGTTATGTGTACAATCTCTGTCATGTTTCCTCCGTACTTTCACTATGCAAAACCATTTTGTGGATGAGCGAATCCAGACAGAATTAGCAAAGTTTTCCTTTCTCATGTAAAATCTTAATGAACTAATTAAAAGTTGCCTGAGGTGGGTGAGAGGAATAATATTCTTTCTAATCAAATTAGTTTCGTAATGTATTCCTCTCCTATGCCCTAACTTAACCATGCAAGAATAAATATGGCCATCTAGTGGCAGTTTACTGTAAAAAAATAAACTGAGAAGAGCAGGGACAATGCAAACGGACGTGTAGCGGTAGCTGGCCTTGGATGCTGTGCCGAGGACATGACCGACACTTAAGGGTCACGCTCTACAGGGCAGCGGAGGCCTTGCTGCAGAGGGTCACTCGTCTCTTTGGGAATCCACACAAAACCACAGAAGACCTGAAACAGGAGGTGATGAGTAAAGTGGCCGACTACCGGGACAAGTTGGATGACGCACACGAGCTGCTGAAGGGGGCCCAACTGAAGATCCACAAGACCAATGCCCTCTCCGAACTGAACCGCTGGAACATGAGCATGCTGGAGGTGGGATTTTCTCGGTTCTGACGCAGCCCCGTGATTTGGGTTTGGACCCCAGAGTTAAGAGCTTGTGGTCACTGTGCTGAATGTTTACCACACACTTTCCAAATAATTTAACTTGTAAGAGAGTAAGAAAAATTATGAAAAGTCTGATGAAAATCAACAGACTGTTTGGTAACGCTTTATATTAACTGCACCTTCTTAATGCATTTATAATGCATTCATAGATCATTCATCAGCATCATATAAGCATACCATAAAATCCAACATGCCTTAATAGATTTAATATGCATTAATAACAATTATATGATTGTATGATTATAATGTTTCTTATCATATAATGTTGAATGATGAAGTCCTCATATATAATGCACTATAGATATCTTAATAATGCATTATAATGGTCAGTATAAGCATTAAGGGTGCTTTGTACTGCATTATAAGGCAGTCATAATGCATAATAAATTAATGCATAATAAATATGTTCATAATGTTATGCCTTTTCATAAATATTTATAGATATATTTATAATGCATTTTGAATGCATTATAATGCATTATGAATGTGTTTATAAATTACTAAAAACATAGCCTTAAGTAAAGTGTTACCACATCTGGCATGAAAGCTACACCTGTCATTAATTTTGTACCACAACTGGATCCCCTCCCAGTTAGCAGTCACAGCATAACCTGCTGGTTCACTCGGACTGTGGTCGTCATAACGATGTGCAATGGAGGGGGGGCTTAGAGCTTATAGTTCCATCTGCCCCTAGAGCAAGAGGGATGCCGTGAACACTGCCATGACAGGGACCGAGGACACCCTGGCTGAGGCGGAGCGCATCCTCGGCGAGGCCAACCTTCTGTCGGGCAACATCAATCAAGAGGTGGAGGTAAGACTTTGAGCTAAGATGTCGCAATGCTGTTATGAAATGACCCTTCATTTGCATGCTCCTTTTTGCACATCCCAACTTGCTCTCCTTTAAGATATATACAAACACCCTTGCAGGGGGTCTGAGAGCAGGGCGGTTGTTAAGAGCCTTGCTCAAGGGCGCAATGGAGATGTGACTATTCTGTGGAGGCTGGAATTCAAACCAATAACCTTCCGAACACAAGTACAGAGACTTAACTCGCTGAGCCGCACATCGCCTCCTGCCAACTCCCCCTGGCCAGCCCTTCACAGCATGTCTGCTTGGATTTCGATTGGATCGTTTTGGGTGAACTGTAAGGTCAAGACTGTAATGAACAAGAGCTCAGAGAAGGCATGGAGCACCACAGAATGCTAGTAGGTTGCAGTAAGCTGGCAGGGTGGAATAAATCTAGGTCACAGTGCTAGCAGATCGCGACCGCAGATGATCTCGGTGCTGGTAGGCCGGAGCAAAGGTCAGTCAGAACGTGTAATGTTCCAAGCCTCCAAATGCAGGATCTGGAGGATATGGCGCGTGACCTCAACCATCTGGACGACCAGCTGGACTACAAGGTGAACAAGATCAGCATGGGTCTGCATGAGAAGAATCTACCGGGGCTGATGCTGGAGGTGGAGAGCCACGCCGCCCAGCTCAAGGACTCTGCTGGCATCTTGGACAGGTGGGCGGCGTTCCAGATGGTAGCGCTGGCGAGAGCGCCACCCTTTCTGTGGGGCCGATTGTCGCTTATTGAAAAGGCTACGTCACTTTCAAGTCAAGTTGGCTGTATTTTCATACCATCCTTATACACATATACAATGACAGGAAAAAATGTCCCCAAGGACCACAGTGTAACATACAGATAGCGAGTAATAATAATAATAATAATAATAATCAAATGGGCTTTATTGCCGTACCATGCATGTACAGGTATACAGCGGCACAAGGTAACATTTCTCCTGGGTGCAACATGCAAGCAGCAAGAGGGGGGGTTGAGGGATCACAGTACTTAAAGAATAGGACAGTATGAAACCGTGGGGCTGGACATCATTTCATTGAACAGAGGGGTGTCGATCTGTAAGGGTTCCTGGGCCCTGTTCCGTGCATGTCAGCCATGCAAGCTTTCAGCCCCATATCTAACCCTTCCTGCCTGGTTTTAAGTATCCTTGCAGAAGCCAAGAACCTGTCATTCAATGCCACGGCGGCGTTCCATGCCTACAGCAACATCAAAGACTTCATCGAGGAGGCGGAGCGGCTGGCCAAGCAAGCTAGGGCCCGGGGCGTGGAGGCCGTGCAGCTAGTGAGCCACGCCCACACACGCGCATGCAACCTCGCTATTAACCCCCCAGTGCTCCACAGCCACACTCCCAGAAATCAGAGCTCCAGCTTGTTTGAATGCAGTCATTGTGATTTGTTTTCAGTGTCATTACTCTGATGCCATCCACTTGAGCCGGGGGTGGGGTCAGACCCCCCCTTCCTCACCCCTCATACAATAGAAGGTCCTCTGTTCCTACCCGAATCCCCTGGGTATAAAACAGATAATTTCCTTGTGGTTCTTGCACAATTACATTGACCTCCATCAGCGAACATCAAAGAACCCGTAACATCAAAGCTCATGTCACCGCTAGCTCGCAGGCGGCCATGTTGACTCCGCCTCCTTGTCTCGTCCTTGCTCAGGCTTCCAGCCCCAGAGGCTCTCTGAAGGAGCTGGCCAAGAACTCACTGCAGAAGAGCTTCCGGCTGTGGAACGAAGCCAAGGAGTTGGATGGTGACGTTAAGGGTGAGCTCTTCCACAATCTCCAGCCACAGACCGTCGTTAAAATGCAAGCGGATCGTCGGTCAAGCGTCCCGTCCCTGCGGAACATGGACTCACGTGCCGTGTGTTTCAGAGAATGCCGAAAGTCTGGGTCGGCTGCAGGGCAGGATTAAGAATGCCGAGACCAAGAGCAAGGACCTGCTGAAATCCATCGACGACGCCCTGGGAAGGCTGGACACCCTCCCGAATGGTAAAGGCAGCATGTGGGAATGAGCTTCACCCTTCTGGGCGTGGCCTGATGGACAAAACACAATCAGCCAATAATTAGCTCAAGTCAAGTTAAGAGGGGCTTCATTGTCACACCAAGCATATACATTGACATACAATGACAGGAAATAGTGCAAAAAAAAAAATCACGCACATAATGTAAATGTGAGCGTAAACAATGTTGGAATGTTTCGAATTTCAACAAAGGAAGCAGCAGAGTTGATGGGGTTGCAGTCACTTCACCTGTGAGCTTTTGTACTTGCTGCGTCATCAACATTGTTTCCCAATGTTGACCCACTGGGCCCATAGTATGAGGTCTAGGACGTCTCAGAAACTTGTCCGGTGCGTTACCCACTCTGCCCGGCTGTCCATGCAGACACAAGCTCCAAGCTGCAGTCGGCCAAGGAGAAGGCCAGGGACGCCAACGAGACGGCCAGCGATGTGCTGGCAAGGCTCAAAAATATGAACCTGGACCTAGCAGGCCTGCAACGCAACTACAGCAAGCTGGGTGATGATATCAAAAAGGCCGACAACATGATCCAGGACCCCGACAAAAATAGTAGGTATCCCTACAGGGTGTCTCTGACACAGACTATGCTGAACGTTCTTTTAAAATAACGCGAGATAACGCGGTGACAATCCAACTTGCATTAATAGTGTGACGATAATAATGCAACTTTTATGCCTTTCTGAAAAAAATACGTAAGTGAAGACAATTCCTTACTAGTGTTTCTTTGTCTCTGTGTCCTGTGCGCGTGATGATCTTGTGAACCTCGACAGCCATAAGTACGTATTTCTTTTTTCTCACCGTTGCGCATGTTAGCTGGAGCCTAGTGCTGCATGGGCCACTGCCGAAATTAGCATGGTGCCAGAGTAACATCCTTCTGCTTTGTATTCTGCAGCAGGGCCTTCACAACTCAAACGAAGCTCATTCTTCTTACTATTAGCATTAAGCTAATCAGAGATTAGCATGTTATTCGTTATCATCAATATTTCATCTTCCTTTCTTCCTTCAGTGTGTCTATGATTAATCGATCTCAGTCACTGCGCTCCCGCTGCCTCCGTTAACACCAACAAGCTAGCCGCACGCGTTCAGTCGCTTCCTCACTAGCGCCCGCCACTCCTCGCAGGTGCGCCGATCAAACCCGTTTCTCACCTTGTTTCCTTTTTTAAGTTCATGCAGCCGGGGCGAAAGTGAAAGACCTGGAGGATGAAGCTGACCGCCTGCTAGAGAAGCTCAAACCGATCAAGGAGCTCCAAGACAATCTGAAGAAGAACATCTCGCAGATAAAAGAGCTGATAAACCAAGCGCGCAAACAGGCTAACTCGGTGCGTGGCGCAGCCCAAACGTCATAGTCATTTATCTACCCGCACCATCAATAAAATATCATTTTAACAATTTTGATAATGAGATGACACAATAGTTAGCCTGTACTACAGGATCAGAGGACGTATTTTCAGTACATAATCAACACATAATCAGTAGGTTGTGTATAGTAATTGCATAATTATCATCAGAGAATGATGATCAGACAGCCTAGGTATTTAATACATAAGTGTTCCATTTACATACATACACATCTGGCTGTCCATTTAGTTTCTGGTCAGGATCATGGGAGCAAAGATTGGGGTCCACCCTGGACAGGATGGCTGCAGTCATGGGTTAGTTATATCAGAATTGGTTAGTTGTGAGTTTCCTAACCACAGAACATTTGACTTGCACCTGCAACAACAGACATCCACTGTTTGACATTTGAAAATACAGCTGGGCTTTTAAGAGGATTATTTTCTTTTTACTTAACTTTGTCTCGCTGTTTGCCTTAACATTGGCTCTCTGACCCAAGTAAGTTGTAGTAAAACATGAAGCGCCGACCGTTGGTGAAGTTCGCTCTGCTGTGGATGTAAAACCCATAAAAGAAAGAAACAATGAATTGAGATCCCCCCCACCTCCCCATCTAGATTAAAGTGTCCGTCTCCTCTGGGGGGAAGTGCATTCGAGCCTACCGACCCGAAATCAAGAAGGGTCGCTACAACACCATCATCTTGAATGTGAAGACTGCCTCCTCAGACAATTTACTCTTCTACCTGGGCAGTGCCCAATACGTAAGTAACTCCAAAAATCCCTTCTGTCGTCTCTTAATAGTATCATCGGTACCACTGTACAATAAGACTCCCTTTGCCACTTATAAATGGTAGTAACTCATTAATAAGAAGAAAACTGTTATAACTTGTTTATAATGGTCTAGTAATGATTTACAAAGTGTTACAACCTAATTAATAACCTGCTTATAAACCATTCATAATGCCTTTATAAGGGTAGCCTTATTGTAAAGTGGCACCGAATCACCAAAACAGTCCATATGCATGAATGAAAAAATAAATATCACATATCTGACACACATACCAATATATCACTTGCTTTTATCTCACGGTGCTTATTGGGTTCCATAGGAAGACATAATCTGAAAAATGAGGGAATGTGTGTAAATATTTTTGAATATTTATGACTATCTCTATAACTTTTTGATGCGAAGCCATTTAGCAGTGTTTTGTTTATTAGCCAGATAACTAATGCACCGCAATTAAATTGAAATTACTCTCCCGATCATGCTTTCTCAGACGTTTTGATGACAATTAGATGAAAAGGCAAAAAAGAGATGATGAAAGGGTATTCAATATGCAGTCCCCAAGAGAGAACATATAATTTTGCTGTGTACGACAACCACGGCAATTAGCAGTGAGTTCAGATAAAGCAGCAGCATGCGGCCATAGCACTGATTTCCTCGGGGAAATCACAGGCCCCTCGCTTTCGCTGATTTGCTTGTAGCTTGTCGTTCCTCAGCATCTCATTCCAGTGTGTCCTGCTCTGTGCTTCCCCTCTTCCGTCACGGCATTGGCCCCTGGAGTGGGGCCCCAGTGATGTGCTCATGATGTCGCCAATTAGACGCCCGTCTCTGTGCATCTCAATCGCTCGTCTCTCCTAGACTGACTTCCTGGCGGTGGAGATGCGCAAGGGCAAGGTCAACTTCCTGTGGGATGTGGGCTCCGGCGTGGGCCGCGTCGAGTACCCCGATCTCACCATCCACGATGGGAACTGGCACCGGATCGAAGCTTCTCGGTGGGCCAAGGATGAACCTGGGGGGGCTGGCTGGGTGTTGGTGTGGGACCCCCTTTACCATTTTACATTTTAAATTTCACTGCATCCTTTGTTTTGGGATAACTGCTCGACTCAAGAATGCAACTGCTATAGCATCTGCCTCAACAGCGCCACAGTGTGGACACAGGTGGTAGGCTCATCCCGCTAATCCGGTGTATGACTTGTTTCGGCGGTTTCCAGTATCGGCATCAACGGTACCATCTCAGTCCATGCGCTGGAGGGCCCGAAAGCTGCCATCATGCCCGTCTCCAGCAGCGCCAGCTCCCCCAAAGGCTACACCATCCTCGACGTGGACGAGAAAGCCTATCTCTTCGTTGGAGGCATTCTGGGAAGCGTGAAGGTAGTGTCCAGCCATCTCCAAAAAAAAAAATACTGATGAAGCCGCCCTTGAGATGCATTGACGTTTGTTTCGACTGACCGTTGAAGAAAGCTGATGCCGTTAAAACCACCACCTTCATTGGGTGTATGGGAGAGACCTACCTGGACAACAAACCCATAGGATTGTGGAACTACCGCGAGCGGGAGGGAGACTGTGCTGGATGTGTAGTGAGGTAAGCCTGCACGGCGTTACGATGAAGGGCTCTAGGTCTCAAAACCCATGTTGGATGGGTTTTTTAAATGCCTCTGTCAACCACCAACAGCCTTAACACTATTCTAATTGCTTTAATTGTCTCATTAATTCCCATTGGGTTAAACAAGGCAGTGATTGATAGCATAGGTAATTCCGTTGGGTCGTGAAGCCTATTTTTTTTCCCCCCTCCCACCAGTGTTTGTAGCAGCCGTCAGACAGCTGCTTTTCATTTCCCGAGTAAATACAGGCGTGGAACAAATTTCTTAAATTAAGTAGTTTACTGTTTGCTGTAAACATGGTTTGGAGCATAATAAATAATGAGCAGTGAGTGTAGGTCACAAAAAGAACAAAAAAATGACAAACCTTGGAAATGTAAAAAAAGAAAAAACCTAGAATATCACTGCTTAAGTTTATTATTATTATGTCGCTATCATTATTATTACGTACTTTCAGGGTATAGTCCTGGGTACCACATAAATAATACATTTCTGTAATAGAGTCCTTGGAGCTGCTGAGATGCTGGGCTGCACAGTTCTGCTGCTGCTAGCTGCTAAATTGCTTAGACTACAGCCAATTTATCTTCTGAGACACAACTGTCACAGCAACTGCAACTCACAGGGCTAAGAAATCCTGCAAGAATGAATTATTAAGTTAATCACTCATATGTGGATGAAAGTCAATACATGCTACTTCTGTAGGGTTATTGAGACGTGACTGATGAGGTACAAATAGGTACTGTTTTTATTTTAGTGTAGTTCCTATCTAATCTATTGACCATCATGTTAGCTTTTTTTTCTTAATAAACAATATACATTGCTACTGATTTAACAATGATGATAATGAGGAGGAGCATTTAAATGTTTAATTGGTTACAAAAGTATTCACTCTCTAATTATGATTTACTATTCATATTAAGTTCACTGTTTAATATTAATAATAACCAAATTACCTCCTTACTTTTGCATTTGAGTTTTTCCAGTGGATTATTGTTAAAGATGCATTGTGTTACTCTTCTGTAACTAATATAACCACTTCAGCAAAAGGATTAGCCAGAAGTTATAAATACTAGTGAAATAAAGTAGAAAAAATTGGCACTATAAAAAAGATGCGGCATTTTGCTGTGGATACACCCCATGATGTTCCTGGTCTTATTCTACCATCTGGAACCCGCATCCCCCTGTCCTGTGCTGTGTGTCCTGCCCAGCCCTCAGCCATCAGACAGCGAAGGCACGGTGCATTTTGACGGCGAGGGCTACGCCGCCGTGAGCCGGCCGACACGCTGGAACCCCAACGTCTCCACCATCACGTTCAAGTTCCGCACGTTCTCCACCAACGCCCTCCTCATGTATTTCGCCACGAAGGACATGGTGAGGCCGCCCTCGTCACCGACAGGGGTCGATCTCTGTCGCGGGTACCATTTCGAAGCTTTGTATGGGCAGCAAATTCAGAAACAGTTACATCCAGGAAAAGGATTGGATCAGTGTTAATTAAGGAGCCTTACAATGAAGATCCTATTAAGAGAAACATCTCTTACATTACTTCTTTACAGTGCATAACATTATAGAGTACTACTCAGAAGTCTGGTTTTAATGCATTTGTATCTGTTTTAACTAAATTATTCAGGACCAGATGATGCTTTTGTATAGTCTGATCTGATTGGACAGACTCACAAACTCTGGATCTTGCAGCACCACAGATGGGCCACTTGTCTGACTTGTCAAGGCAGGAGTCATTCCTGTCTTCCTGCTTTCGCTGTTGTTCCGGACCTTCATGTTCTCCCCTGACACCTCTTTCGGAGACAGAAAGACTTCATGAGTGTAGAGCTGAGTAACGGCAGAGTGAAGGTCAGCTACGACCTGGGATCCGGGCCAGGCAATGTCTCCAGCAGCCAGCGGCACAATGATGGCCAATGGAAGTCCTTCACCATGGCCAGAATGTTGAAGCAAGGTATGAGAACCTCCATTACTCCTTATGCTCTTAATTTTTATCACTTTTTATGTAAAGTAACTGCTCCATTTTACAGTGACACAAATTCTTCTTACATAAATCAATGTTTCCCAACTCGATCTTCAGGGACCCACAGATGGTCCAGGTTTTTGCTCCCTGCCAGATAGGGAGCAAAAATGTGGACCGTCTGTGGGTCCCCAAGGACAGGATTGGGAAACACTGATATACATGATATATTCACCTGTTATTAATGATGAAGTATTTAGCAGCAATTTCCATCCTGGCACTTAATCCTGACCATAACATTTTGGTTGCATGCCACTTATCCAGTTTAATTGTATTCCACAGACAGGCAATGCATATGGTTTTGGGGCAGGTCTGCCACCACAGACCTTTAGTACAATAATTCAAAATAAATTTGACATACGGGAGCAGATCTGTAATTGGTTAAATTTTGAGACCACTGATCAAATTTTGAGCAGCAACACTGAAGCAGTGCCCAATAGTGGTAGCGAAGAGAAGGGTAGCTGGGGACACTCAAAAGGATGTGTCAGATATATTATCAAGGAACTTTATATAGGAGAAAGTCTGTAACTTCTTTTTGAGACAAATCACACCAAAACTGAAGTGATGTGACTTAATGGCAGCAAAGATAAGGGTGACTACAGAAGATACTTGACATTGTGAACGTGATAACTTAAAGAGTTATTTGATGGACTTTATTTCCTACTTCAGAACAACATCGCATGGATGAAGATCAACACCAAATTTTATTTAGAGATAAATTGCACCCAAATTGAAGCAGCAGCAATTGGAAAGAGAAGGGCAGCTGTAGAAGGCACTTGATCTTATGAACACAGTAAATCTAGAAGTAACTGATAGATCTTTTTCAAACTTCCCAGAAACATAGGTGATGATCTGAGATAAATCACACCAAAACTGAAAGAGTGTCATTTAGTGGTGGCACATGAAGGGATAGTCACAGACGCAGATCTGGTGAACCTGATTACATTGAGACAAGTCACTCAAAGTCAGGCTTTTAATAAAAAGAGGTGGAAAGAGCGTGCAGGGGGACTAGAGATTGTAAAGGTTGGCAGGTGAGGGAGGAGTAGGGATTAGATGAGGTAGTGAAGGGGCCACCTGGGGAAAACATTGTTGTCATTGTGACATCATCTGGTTATTCCATATATAGAGTACCAGTCAATGGTTTGGACACACCTACCCGTAGAAAGGTTTATTTGTACTGTTCTCTACATTAAAAAAACAATTATAGACATCAACACTACAAAGTAACATATGGAATCGTGCACAAAGTATTAGAATGTTAGGGGGCAGCTTTGTCGGTTGCGACTCTAAAGGCTGCTAGTTCAGATCCAGTGGTCAGCAGAGTGATGCCACCATTGGGTCCTTTGAAGACCCTTAACCCCAATTGCTCAAGGGACTGGCTGACCCAACTTTCTCCTCTACACCAGAATCATGAGGTGGCCTCCTGGGATGAGTTTCCAACTGTCCTGAAGGAGGTCCCACATATATGCTGCTTTTCCATCACTCTCGGGTCAAACTCCAAAACCATTTCTATTGTGTTTAGGTCATGTGGCCAGGTCATGTGATGCGACACTGTCACTCTCCTTCGTAGGTAGCTTGGCGTGTATAAAGATTTTTTGTCTAATGTTACTTCTTTGCCCCTCTTTTGATGACAGCGAGTGTGACTATCGTGGATATCGACTCCGGCGATGAAGAGAACTTCGTGGCCACATCCCAGGGTGCCAGCACTGGGCTGAACCTCAAGGAAGGCGAACGGATATATTTTGGAGGTTTGCCGACCACTGGGAATTTCAGGTGTGCCTACAAGGACTTGCTTCTGTCTTTTTGTCTAGCTGGCCATTCCCCTCCTACTGCGCTTCTCCGGGCTAGCCTGATTTCCCAAAACTTGGTCCCCTCTGACTTCCCCCCAAGCCCTCTCGCTGTTCAGGGTCTCGAGATGAAATCTCCAGCGAGAAATGGAGTTGTAATTGCTTGAACTTTAAAAGCCGTGTGTCAGCTGTCAGTGCCACACTGTGATTGCTGACCCCTGTTTGAGAAAAATAATTCACTCTGTGCCGTAAAGAATCGGCATTGTAAAGGGAAGTATAAAAGAAAATAGATTTGAAAATGGCAGTATGTCCACCACAATGGACACTTGCGTAAGCTTTAATGCTCCAGTGTTACGCAAGTGGCCAAACTCCTGTGCGTCTCCCTGTAATGCGAAATGCCCACGTTCATCGCAGCAAAACGATTCACAGTAGCTTTCGGGAGTCCCATAACGAAATCGTCCGAATTCCTGTCAGGTTGACATTCGGTCAAGGCTTTGAACGATGTCTTTCAGTGAAACAAGGGTGCTTTCAACACTGTATGAGCCAGCATTTATATTCCATGGTTTAGCATTGTTTGTATAATGTTCTCTTCATTTCATAAATTGTCATGCTGGCAAGTATTAACACGTGTCTTTTGTTCTTACAGTATGAAAACAAGGTAAAAGACACATAGATATTACACGTATCCTCTTGCATGTGTTCCATACGCATTTTTCTCTATCAGAGGCTGGCAAATTGGTGGCATTTCTGGTGGAGGAGGTCAGGTGCTTTGTTCCTCGAACGTGATAATGGCACAAAAGGCTATCGCCGTGCTGCTAGTCGCTGTAATGCCACTCGCATCCATCAGCAGAATCTCAGGAATGAAAGATCACACTTTTCACGCCGGGGTGGCTGGCTTGATGGGGCCTCTGCACGTAGGGGCTGCTAAGGACCAGCTTAACTTCCATCCACTTAATTTCCGCCGCCTATTTAATTCCTCTTCTTTGCATGACACGGCAGATGTGCCTTTTTGTGTATTTTCTTTGGATAATATTTTTCTCACCAGTGCACATTTATATATGTTATTGGCAAAAGGTCAACTAGGTTGCAAATACAGTGTATTTATGGTGACTGTATCCCTTACAGGACAGAGGTCACTATGAAGAAGTACGCAGGCTGTATGAAGGACATAGAAGTTTCCAGAACACCGTACAATTTGCTAAGCAGCTCCGACTACACAGGCCTGACGAAGGGCTGTGCGATAGAGGTGTGTGTTTGATTATCACCTTCTCCTCTTTGATGTTCCTGTCGCTTATTATGCATAGGGGGCCGGCGGGGGCCGGGTCCATGGAATATTTCCTGCAGCCTGGTAATTTTCTCCATGCCAGTAAGAGAGCCTGAGTCTGACTGGTGGGGAAAAAATCACATCAGAGAGGAGACACAGGGGTGGGGGAACCTGGATGTGATTATCAATGACAAAAATATGCTCATGTGAAGGGGCAAGATGGAGCAACGGAGGGTGAATTTTTAACACTGTGATTGTATAATGTATTAAACTACAGAGAAGTGAGAGAGCAACTGCAGACAGAGGATAAAGCCTAATGTTACAGTCTAGTCCCTGCGGTATACATATTTATCCAAACAAGTCACTTATCTACTGATTTATGGTAGACAGTGATAATCCATGTAACCACGTGAGATGACTGGCAGCTGAGTGTTGATTGATTTGGTGTGTGACCAATGACAGTTGAGCTGGTGGTGACTGACACATGAGTGGGTAATTATAATGCAGCCTTAGCATGTGATGACTGACAGTCGGGTGTGTGATGACTGACAGCCAGCTGTCGTGTGTGTGATGACTGACAGCCGAGCATGTCTGAGCTGTTGGCACACTGCCCTACAGAACCTGCACACGGTCAGTTTCCCCAAGCCCGGCTTTGTGGAGCTGAGAGGCATGGCGTTTGACGTGGGCACGGAGATAACGCTGTCCTTCAGCACCAAGAGTGACAAGGGCATCATCCTGTTTGGCAGCGGGGGCGTCCCTGTGCCCCCCAGGAGAAGGAGGAGGCAGACAGGGGAGGTAAGAGTCGTCTCGGGCCAGCCCCGTAATCAGTTCTCCAGTTGCCTTGAGGGGGGTCCCTGCTATGGGCAGTCCCAGGATGATAGTTGACCGACGGTGGGGATGTTTTCAGGAGGATTGTGACAATGATAAAAGTTGTTGACGGGAGGTCGGGAACGGGGGGGATGGGTGGTGATAAAAGTAGTCAAAAGGGGTGGTTGCTCGGCGATTGGGGGAAGGTTGTGGCAACCATAAAAGGTGATGATAAAAGCTGCTACCCAGGGGATGGAGGGGACACTGAATCTTGTGAGTGCATCTTTTTTCTCTTATGGGGGGGTGGTCCCAGAACTATTTTTGGGAGACTCCCAAAATCAAGTGAAATTCCATGCACTTAGATGACAGGACCATGGAACGTGCATCCAGCAATGATGGCACTGGCGGGCTCCTGCCCTGTGCCCCCGGGAATAGACCCCAAGCACAGCCCGGCCGTGAGCTTCCTAAGCAGTTATGGGAGATGGATTCTGGGAGGGGCCGGAACGTTAATGAATAATTACATGATGCAGATGATGTCCTGCAGCCTGATGTGTTCTCATACATGCACATAGATGTGTGTGGCCTAGCAGGGAGGCCTGATCACACTACATGTGATAATAATTGTTTTTGCCCCTCAGAAAACTGCGCCGGTGTTATTATTTCTGAAGGGGGCACAGCGGCGCATCTCGGGATCATTTTAATTAGAATGTGACTTTTAGCATCTCTGTTAGTGGGGCCTTCGAATCCCTGCCTGCCCATCTGAGGGGCCTTCAGGGCATTGGCAGGCGTTACATCAATTACAGGCACTGAATGAAGCAAACAGCCGCAGGTTTAACCTCTAACACTTGGCAGGAAACGTCTTTGCTGAGAAAATATTATACAACAGCACAGTGATAAGTTGGATTCAATTTGCAACAGCCCAGGTAGGGGCGGGGGTGGGGGGGGGCATGGGCTGTCACCTTTGAAAATAATTACTGTCCATAAATGAAGTGGATATCATCTCAGATGGGGGGGGGGCTCTGTGCCTCATTTCGGCTTGGCCACCATTCATTTCGGCAGTTTGCCTGGGGGGGGGCTGGGGGGTGAAAAGCGTACTCTGTTTGACGCAGGCTGTGCTCGTCACCTCCTCAGCCAGGTCCACCATGAGCACGCAGACGCTCAGTTAGATACGTCGGCCAGGGAGGTGATGCTCGGATGGATGCCGGCAAGCCGGCTGGGGATGAGGAGGAAACGGTGTCGCGGCTGGATCTGCAGTCTCAACTCGGGCGCGTTGTCTCTGTAAACCGACGTGATGAAATGACGCTTTATTTGCTATGATTTGCACGAGCAGGATTACAGGTACATTGGAATGATTCTTTTGATATATCCCACCCACCTAGCTGTCCTTTTGGGACACAAACGCACACAGACACGAGGACTGTCCATTAATTTCTATGGGTAAAACCCTAATCTCATTAGTGACATCCGTGACCCCTGCCCAGTCCTAACCTTAACCATAAGTAACCAAACAAAATACAAGAATTTTGGCATTTTTAGTTGTCTGATTGCAGTCACAGATTTTTATAAGATTGAGTTTGCCCTTGTGGAGACTGAAAAAATGGTCCCCACAACATTAAAATAATAGGTTTTTCTCACATTGTGGGGAGACACACACACACACGTGAGAGAGCTTGGGGTCCTAATGCAGGTTCAGCCATTTATCCTCTTCCCTTGGAAAATTTCAGCGGTATTGCACAGCCCTTTGTCAAGTCCTTCCTCAATGGTCCAACAGCAGCATTGGTCTGCCAGCGCCGGGATTCAAACCGGTGACCATCTGAACACAGGGATGAGCCCCACAGTGCCCCCCTCAGGCTGTGCACAGGCACTACTTTGAAAGTGGCTCCCTTCTGGCTCCTCCCGTTTGTCCTTTTCAGCTGCCGAGAGAATGTCCCCCTAACTCTGTTCTGCTTCCCTGCGACCCCCCTCCTCCACTGCAGGCCTTCCTGTCCGTGCACCTGAACAAGGGGGTCCTGGAGGTGCTGTTGTTCGCCGGCGGCCGCGGTCCCCGCAGGGTGGGCCGCAAACCAGAAGAGGGGATCCTGCACGACGGCCGGGAACACGCCCTGCGCATTGAGAGGACAGGCGGGTGGGTAGAGCAGCCGCCTGGGCTGTGTGACTCCCCATAGCTAAAGCGTGCAGCGGGCCCAGAAGCTCGCATACAGAGCACGTCACATGTCCACGCCGATGCGCCGTGCTGGCCTGAAACTCCCTGGTAGATGCGTCATTTAGCGGGCATCCCCTTGGGGAATTCCTGCTGCGGCCCTTTAAATCTCACGGCGAGCACCGTTACACGCCCCAACACACTTTCGCACCATAGTAACACTGCTGAAAGGTTAGCCGTCATGTTGCTTTTACTGGGGGATGCCGGCGCTATTACCGCGTCTGCCTAAGGGGGGTGCGGGGGCCACTGGTATAAGATGGAGGAATGCTGTGAATCTGGATGGCACCAGAAATACCAGGGGGGGGCAGACAGAAAACACAGGTGACGGGGGGGGGTATCTGCGGCAGGCGGCTGGAAGAGCGCACAGTGAAGTGCATTTGACCTCCCATCCACTAGGGGCTTCACAGTGCAGATAGACGAAGAAGAGAAGATGGAACAGGTTCTCCCCAACGACCATCCCATGAGCATCAAGCGGCTTTTCCTGGGTGGGATCCCCCCAGATGTGGAGACAGGCACCCAGAGAACCAACGTACCCTTCGAGGGCTGCATCTGGAACCTCGTCACCAACACCATGTGAGGGGGGACATGGCCGTACCTGCTGTTAACATCCACGTTTCCATTCACTCATGGTTGTCTGACTCTCACTCAACATGATCATGTGACAAAAGCTGTTTTTTTAAGCAGTGTGTAGTGTGTGTTATTAAGTCCATTGTTTTTTCCAGTCGAATCAACACGATTGAGCCATATTTAGATCAGTTTTTAATGGGCTTGTCTGCTTTCCTGACTGTTTTCATAATTCAAACTGCCAGCCCGGTGAGCTGGGCCGTATTGGGTTCTTAAATCGTTGCTGCTGCTCTTCCCCACAGACCGTGGGATTTCTCTCAGCCAGTAGCGTTTGAGAATGCAGAGATTGGCCAGTGCCCCAGTATGGCGACACTCCCAGCTCCGGGGCCGCCGCCGGAGGAGACGCCCAAAGCAGAGACCAAGGAGGTGGAGGAGCGGTGGCCGGAACCTCATCGCTTACCGACGCTGCCACCATCCAGCGTACGTTCCGCCTCCAGCTGGTTGGGGCAGGGGTTTCGCGATCACATGACAGCCGGCTACATCCTTATACCTGAGAACGTCCATAACCAGAGGCAGGTTGGTCCTGCAGGCCTGAAGTACAGCTCCAGTCTGTTAGGGGAGATTATGCTTTATTTCCATTAGCACAAGTACATTGGAATGCTTATTTCGCATATCCCATCATGCGTTTCTCTGAAGGATTCACTCATATAAACATATACCACGTTGTGAGTGCATAGCGAAAAACGATTGGAGATAACCAATCGGATTGTAGAGGAGGCTGGATCAAGACATCTGATTTGTTGGTCCTGCCTCCTACAATCTGATTGGTTATCACTCTGAACCAATCTTTTTTCCTTCTTTTTTACTTATACATTTTTGTATAAGTAAAACTCCCATGAGCCAGGCCTTTTATCCAGTATTGCAAGAGGTTAAGGGCCTCACTCAAGGGCCCAATGAAGTTGGAACTACTCTACTGATGATGGGTTTCAAACCAACAACCTTTGGATGAGGCACACAGGCTTAGCCCACTGAGCCGCACAGTATCTACTGTTAGGTTCGGATCACAGAGCAATAGGAACTAATGAAGGGATGGGACCCCTTACTGGCCACCCCAGGCCATGCCTGCCCCCATTCCGCTGTGCTGTCTAACCATCAGGAGCTTCGTCCTTCATCGCCGCCCACCCTCCTCACCCATAATGCACCAGGGGCACCCTGTCCCGGCCGGCTGTCCGCCTCTGGCCGTCTCCTCGCGTTACATCTCACAGACGTGTTTCTGCTTGTCTTTTTTAACCTGCAGAGTGGGTGGCGTGATTGGCTTGGACTGTCTGGTTTCACAAAGATCTCGCGTTGACCTACATAATACTACATAATGCACTGCGATGCTTTCATTTCCTGCGCTGCCTGTGTCCAGGCAGAATCGTCCATATCTTCATTGCTTCACCTCAGTCTTTCTCCGTAGCTAAGCTGAGAAGCTTGGTCTGACCCCTTGTCCTCCTCCTCAGCTTTTTTTCAGCTTCTAACCTTAATCACCCAGCAGTTGGGCCTTAATCTCCCAGACATCTGTTATTTTTTTTGTTTCATCCTCTCATCTTATTTCCACCTTTAGCACCGTCTGCAGAGGCTTCAGACGTCTGCGATAGAGGGGGTCCTGCATGGCTGCACTGGTGTGTGTGTGTGTGTGTGTGTGTGGCGGTAGGGGGCAACATCACGAATTTGGGTTAAGCATTTGATTTCCACTGTGCAAGAGAGGGCTTTCAAGGGATGAGGACGACCAGGACAAAGAATACATTGTAGAAGGTCACGTGAATAATGGAAAAACTGCCGGACATGTCCTTCACAGAATAAGGGATCCGGCCAGATCAGCCTTCAACACACAGCCGACACAAAGGCTCTCCTTCAGGGCACTTGTTAATTGAACACAAAAGGCGCCATTATTGTCGTGTCCTTTGTAATAGCACCATCTGCTGACGGATTATGGAATAACTGCACTGTATGAAGATTTTCAACTGGCTCTGTAAAGGGCTGGCATCCAGGCCTGGGATGACCCCCTCTGCCTTGTGTCCTGTGCTTCTGGGGACAGGCTCTTGGTTGACAATGACTGTCTATTAGATAAGACGTATTTAGTTGAATGTACCATCTTAATAGGCTGTGCTGTGGTGACTTGAAAATGTAATGGTGCTTCCTATGATTGCAACGATGCATTCAGATTTCAGTACCAGGACTCCTGTGACACATTGCAGATCTCCTGCGCAGCTGAAGCAAGCCCCATCGTGCTGGAAAAGGCGATGCAGTTCGGCCTGTCCAGAAACAGCCATGTGGCCGTGGCCTTCGATGACACGAAAGTCAAGAACAGGTATACAGAGGCTGATTTCTTTACGGATGACATCACAGGAGAAACACCCTTGCATCATTCGGGGTTCCTACATGCAAACCGCTGAATTTCCAGTTAGCTGATATTAAACTGGTTTTTCCAGGAAGAAAAGAAAAGCACTGAGAATCATAGAATGCACAAACAGCAGATTCACTGATACATTTGCATCTGTTTTTGTTTTTTGGTATATATTCTGTATATGTTGTATGTTCTTTGTTTCCATGTTCTCTGATTGTTACACAATCCTTTTATTGCAGTTTTGCAACACTTGAGTATTCATTAACAATTTATGATGCAATCAGAAGTTTCTGGACTTACTGAAATGTAACGAAATACATTCGAATAATGTAACATTAGCAGCAGTAATTTGATATTATTGCTCCTCATTTGGGTGTCCTAAGTATTTTGTAATATTGAATGTATTAAAATTGACGGCTTAATTATATTAAGTAATTATGCTGACATACTGTGTGTAATTGTTTTTGTTTTGACCGACACTGGCATGAGCACCAAAGCATTACATGGTGATTTGCGTTTATAAAGACTGACCTTATCAGCTTCAGAAAACAAACGTGGTCTCGTAATCTTGTTGGTCATAGAAATTTGTCTTTGTGGATAGAGTATATTGTACTGGGTTCTTCCTAAAGGCCTGTTTGGTATATCTCAGGGTTTCTCAACCCGGTCCTCGGGGACCACCAGACGGTCCATGTTTTTGCGCTCTCCCAATTCCCTGCCAATTGGGAGAGAGCAAAAACGTGGACCGTCTGATGGTCCCTGAGGACTGGGTTGAGAAACCTTGGTATATCTGACCACGCTGCTTAAAGTTGGGACACAGGTGACCATCTGCCAGATGATCATATGAAGAGGAGGAACAGATTGTGTATAAGGTTCGCCCCCCTTAAGGATGCCACTCTCGCCTGTTTGTCCTGCAGACTCCTCATCGAGTTCGAGATCCGGACTGAGGCCGAGTCGGGCCTGGTCTTCTACATGGCCAGGATAAACCACGCGGACTTCGCCACCATCCAGCTGAAGGAAGGGATGGCCTACCTGAGCTTCGACCTGGGCAGCGGGAACACGTCCGTCTACGTGCCGCGCATCATCAATGACGGCCAGTGGCACAAGGCAGGGGCTCCTGGGCTACATCCACACAGTCGCTTAGCATGGATATGCTGTAATGGTGCTTTACCACTGGCAAATAGGAACCGGCCCATACCTGAGTCGTACCGCAAAGAGAAACTAGTTACAGCACGGTTCCAGCCCGCTTTGGTTTTCCACTGCAGAAGGGTCGGCTCGGTAAAGGCGTTGCCGGGTTTGGAAAGCGACAGGGGTGTGAAACTGAAGGGGCACTTATTTACTGCTCACACAGTGTACAGCATGATATGACTATATGCTAAATTCTGCTAGCTGTCTGTGAGGATCGCCATGTTATGTTAGAATCAAACACTAGCGGAAGTAGCTTTCGCTTGTGTGAATTTGCATTACGAATCCATTCTGTTTGGCTGTTCTAAGAGGTCAGAAATTTTCTTGATCCCAGTTAACAGAAATGCTTTAATATATTTGAATGTGCAAAACTGCTAATGATTAATAATATATAGAATTTTGCAATTTTTCCCTTCAGATAATCCATGCTTATCGATACAGATCACTAGCATCTCCATGATTTCAACCAATCAGATGGCAGTGACGCAACCAGCTCAGTTTGGTCACGCTTTCTGCCCTGCTAGTAAGAAGCATGGGCGCAGCTCTGGAACAGCTCTCATACTTTGCATTGGTAAAGTGCCGGTTCACAGTTTGGGTCGGGTACGGCTCGGTTCCTGGCGGCAGTGGAAAATGCCGTCCTGGGTTCCAGAAGGCCTCCCGTTGCTCCTTGTTCTGGGGAATTAGCTCAGACGGTAAAGCAGTTCCTTACCACGTAAGCGGTAGTGGGATCAATGCCTTCATTCTCCAAGCCTTTAATGAATATTCCCCTGGGATCAATAAAGTATATTTTATCTTCTTTTGTCAATGGAATTCACTTTTGTAAGCTTCCACAGGAGAAGATGAGGGTGGTAGGATTAGCTGCTTTAGCTCCGCGCACGGAAGGTGTCCGAATCACTCCTGTCCAGCACGTCCTCAGTCGCTAGATGCGAAGTATGGAGGCCGTCTGGCATCACGCTCTCTCCTCTTCCTCTTCACAGATCAGGGTACTTCGGGAGAAGCAGAGGGGTGTGCTGACCATCGACAACCGCTACTTCAAACACACCACCAGTCCAAAGCAGGCCGACATCCTGGACGTGGTTGGGATGCTCTATATCGGTGGCCTGCCTGTTAATTACACCACGAAACGGATCGGCCCAGTAAGATGATGACCTCGTCACTCATACAGATTTCAATCATTTCGATTTATTCAATCATTTCAATTTATTCAAATTTTAAGAACTGAACGTATTTCAAGTTTTGGAGGTACAAATTATTAGGTACGGTAAAAATTTACTTCAAGAAAGAACTTCTGCATCTGTTTTGCAGGATTTAAGATGATGATTAAAATTACAAGCATCCGAACTCCAATCACTGCCCTGTTTCTATCCTTTTATGCGACAGGTGGTGTACAGCATCAATGCCTGTATCAGAAATTTCCAAATGTTGAACACACTGCTTGATTTGGAGAACCCCACGTCCCGCTACAATGTGGGCAGCTGTTATGTCAAGACTGAGAAGGGCAACTACTTCAATGGCACAGGATATGCCAAAGCAGGTGGGATATGCCAAAGCAGGTGGGATATGCCAAGGCAGGTGGGATATGCTGCAGCTGGGATATGCCAAAGCAGGAGGGATATGCTGCAGGTGGGATATGCTGCAGGTGGGATATGCCAAGGCAGATGGGATATGCTGCAGGTGGGATATGCCAATGCAGATGGGATATGCTGCAGGTGGGATATGCTGCAGCTGGGATATGCTGCAGCTGGGATATGCCAAAGCAGGTGGGATATGCCAAAGCAGGAGGGATATGCTGCAGCTGGGATATGCCAAAGCAGGTGGGATATGCTGCAGGTGGGATATGCTGCAGGTGGGATATGCCAAGGCAGATGGGATATGCTGCAGGTGGGATATGCCAAAGCAGG